TTCAAGGAGAATATGCGGTGGGACAAGCATCATATCCTCATCGAGTGTCTTGCTTGTCTCATCCGTGACCACGATTTCGTTGAGACTCCTCAGAGTAAGAGGCTGTTTGGTGAAACTGAGCCAAAAGAGGGCCTCGTGAGCAATCTTCCAATCATCGGGGGCAATTCTTTCCAACATATTTGCATATGTCTCGCGTAAGGTCCCTGGGAGGTTCCGTAAGGCCTGTCGCATCGCCCTTACAGATCGCTGCGTGCTTAGATTGTCCAGTGAGAGCTGGACCCAGCGGAATCTGCGAAGAAATAATTAGACCACAGAAAGCATAGTAAGATCGACGCTATACTGACGAGCCATCGGCATTTCGAAGAAGGGTGTACTCAATCTCCGCTTGGAAATCTGGCGCCAAATTTCTCAACGTATTATCAGTCTCAAGTCGGTATTTTATGAAGGTATAAATGTCCCCTCGCGACTTTCCGCTTATGTTTAAGACAGATGCATTGTGGTGCTTGATGGAACTCATGGTACTTGTAGTGGTTATAAGCACGCGGATATTTGTGGATAGATTGGCAAGCCTGACAAGGGATGCTTCGAGGAGCTGCATGTCATGGCTTTCGTTGATTGCATCGACCATGAGGACAACCTTTGTCTTTTCGGAAGCAGATTTGAGGATGGCAGCTTCGAGAACAGACAGTTCGATGGGGAACCTATGCGCCTGATTCTTCGAACCTTTGTTGTAAACAGACCGAATCTCATCCAATATTGAAGGAACTGTGCCCGTGAGCTGTGCCACAAGCGATCCTAGAACATTTCTTGCATCCTGGGAGGCAAAATCGCTAATTGTGCAATAAAAATAAGCAAGACACATGGATTGGCCTTGAGAAGCCATATAAGCAAGTTCGTCCGCAGCTTGCGCACTAGCGAACGTCAGATATGAGAAGCAAGCCGATTGAGAAATGAAACTTACAACAGCGTAGTTTTCCCAGTTCCGGCTGCACAACTATATCAGTCAAACGTATTATATATTGCAATGGGTACGTACATTTTCCCAAAAGGAAGAAAGCTCGATTTCCATCTTGATTGAGAAACGTCTTCAAGTGGCCGTCGACAAACCATCTGCCAGTCCCATTCCTATGTCTTTTTGACGCCCGCAGATGAGAGCTTTCGGGGTTCACGGGAGCTATCCATCGCAGAAGCTCTCTGTTAGCAAATTGGTTCCGCTCCTGAACTCGAATCTGCAAGTCTTCCTTCAACGTGTTTGTCAAATCACGAATTTCATGTTGCATCTCCCGATCCATCGAATTATGGTCTGCCATGAGAACCAGTATCAACCACGATTTGACTCTTTCCAGACGGACGAGATGCTCGCTAACTTGTGTCTGTGTAAACGGCCATTTCAGAGTTTGCTTGAGGCGCTTAAACTTGGTCTCGGCCGTTTGCAAGTCCAGGAGTAAAGATTGGAGGAACTCATTCGTTGTATGCAACACTCTTGCCAAGACACCGCGGTCAAATGGGCTTGTTTCTAATTCCTCGCATTTGGGGTTATCATCTACCTGTGTTGACAGGTGCTCCAAGATCCCTTTTAGAGCAAAGAGCTCTTCACTGAGTTTGCGCACTTCGGACTTCGCGGTTTGCACCGTTTTGGCATATCTGATCAAACTCGATAACACACGGCTGACCTCTATTACAAGACTGGTAATAGAAATCGGGTCCATCGGGATTCAATCGGGCTGAAATTGTTCTGTGTATTTGAGGTGATTATCAAGGGCTGGAGGTTGTGTGAGTCGTTGTAAGCTGTACCCCACTCCAGGGCTCCAGGGCTCATAGATAGTGTATAGCCGCCAGTGCGCCATGTGGTTATTTCTTTTCCATATCAAAATTTTGACTGTGATACCGCCAGTTTATTATTACATATGTACCTACAAATTGGATTGAGGTCTAATAATTAATTCTTACATCAACTTCCACGCTTACACGGCTGTAGTCTTAGTGGCCTGTCTTTAGTAGTCTTTCCGATAGTCTTTTTATATATCTTTTTAGTCGTCTCTTTTAGTGGTCTCTCTAGATATCTAGTTGTATAAGTATCTTCTCTCCCTCCTTAGCTCATTTGGTAGATAGTAGAAAAGGGCTAAAAACAGGCTTAATTTATAAAAGGGAACTTCCTATATGACCTTTGATATCGCAACCTCTACAACATCTCAATTTCTATAAATTCCTATAGTTAATAAAATACACATATACTAGTTTAATGAAATGTTCTGCTAGCAAAATACGATATGGCGCACTGGCTATACACTGGCGGCTATACACTGCCGTACTCATAGATCGGCCTAGTGTGGCTGTTTCGGTTTCCGTGATGATACCCGAATTGGGTCGCCATTGGACTGCAATCTCGAGCTTTCCTGGGATTTGATATACTTAGACTCCATTTTTAACTCATTGTCCATGAAAGAGTACAGACAAGGAATGTAAGGAAGGCTAAAAAGAGATATTGACCAAATTGTCGCTATCCACCGCCGTGCCCTCACCGCCCCCGGCCTACATCGTCATCGATGGCAGCTCGCATTCTCATTCCCTCACATCCATGCCAGAATGCCCCCCCGATATGTCTATGGTCCCCTATAATGGGGGCAACCGTGATGTTGTTTTGTAAGTGATCTTCAACTATGTGCTACTAGTTATCTAATTTCGACAGGCGGCACAATGACTCGGTGGTTGTCTTTGACCATGATTCTCAGCAGCTCGTTCTCCGCAACACCTCAGATGAAGACATCGACAATATGGAGCTGGCCGACTGCCCATTCTGCCATCGCTCAATGCGCGATAATGGTAGAGAACGACATTGTGGGGATACTGAACCCGAAGGCGAATTCGTTAACCCAAACTACTTTCACATGCTCAACAATAGCCTCCCCAGCTCCGCAACATCCTCGACTCCTCCTTCTCCACGCCATCGCCTTGTTCAGCCCGCACTTCCTCGTGGCCCTAACAATAACAGGCTCGCCGAACCTACCTCGTCACCACAGCCGTCCCCGCAGGGAATTTCCTCTGCCGCATTCAGTCCAGATTACTTCAAGAGGTTCTTTGTGGAGGAACGAGTCTTAGGCAAAGGTGGAAAAGGGGTGGTGTTACTAGTGAAGCACGTCCTGGATAGTGTGTCCCTTGGCCATTATGCCTGCAAGCGAGTCCCTGTCGGCGACGATCATGAGTGGCTGGAAAAAGTTCTGGGCGAAGTGCAGCTGTTACAGCATCTCTCGCACCAGAATCTTGTTTCGTACCGTCATGTTTGGTTGGAAAATGCAAAGATAAGTACCTTCGGCCCGAGTGTGCCTTGCGCATTTATCCTACAGCAATACTGCAATGCCGGTGATTTGCATGATTACATCTGTGGCTCTGTGCAAACCTCCACCACTGCGCAGCAATTGAAGGATCGCCTTCGCCGCAAATCCAAAGGCGAACCGGAGCCTCGAACCAAACTTGGAGGAGCTCGCACGCTTCAGCTAGATCAAATCTATTCTTTCTTCCGTGATATCACCTCTGGACTCCGTTATCTTCACGCCAACGGATACATCCATCGTGACCTGAAACCACACAACTGCCTGCTCCACGAGACCAATGATGGCATTAGAGTTTTGGTCAGCGATTTCGGTGAGGTGCAGTCTCAAAATGCAATGCGCAAGTCGACTGGTGCAACCGGTACTCTTTCATATTGTGCACCCGAAGTTCTTCGCCAAGAATATCCTGACGGACCATTTGGCAATTTTACGTTCAAGTCTGATATTTTCTCCCTCGGAATGATCCTTTACTTTTTATGTTTTGCAGCTCTCCCATACACGAATGCCGACATCATAAACGAAGAAAAGGAGGACTTGGATCAGCTCCGTGCAGAGATCACGAGCTGGGCTGGATTTGATCACGCACGAGCTATCCGCTCCGACCTCCCTGAAAAGCTGTATAAGTTCCTAGAGCGCTTGCTCTCGGTTGACCCCGACCGGCGGCCCTCAGCTGATGACGTTTTAAATGGCATTCAAGTCGGTGCCAACTCCAATGAAAAGTTCCGCTTCAGGAAAACCAGCACAGGAAAGTCTGACCTGCCTGGGGCTCGAATCCGCCCATTGGATAGCCAGCAGCCATCAGTAGAGCGAGCACTCTCCCCCACCAAAAATCTGCGCCGGAATCCAACTTCTTTCCGGCGCGACTCGAAGTCTGACTCTAGTCATTTTCGAAGTAATACGGCGCCTGTGTCTGATACCAACCCAAAGGAGGGTCCTTCTGTCGTCCCAGATCAAGACATGATAATCCGGCATCGCTACTCTACTCCATCACCGTCATCCCCAGCCCGACCCCCTCACGAATCATCACCGCTTCTCGATCCGCAGCCCCAGCCTCAACCAATCCGCCAGCATCATCATCTTCTCCCACCCCCACCGAGCCGTTTCCCTCTCCTTAATTACCTAGCATCTTTGAACCCATTCCCATCCTCGTCTGTCTTAGAGCTCACTCTCTTCCTCGTCAAGGTCATATCCCTTCTTCATCCATGTTCGCCGCTGGCCGTCAACCCCTGGATCCTTTACCCTCTCCTCCTCACTGCAGCATTTACTTTAAGAGCCCACAGCATTCAGACCCAGGCCCTCGCCGTCTTTTTGCACCTGCTGGTCGTCGGTCTCAGTTTCCGCCTAGGTGCCCTATGTATCAGGCGCGGAGACTCGGAGATGAACTTGTGAATACTCTAGTTTTAGTATGCCTTGCATCTATTTCCCGGCCCTTTTGATGTACATTTACATGACACTATCACGATGATGCCCCTGTTATTTTTCAACGAGTTGATGAGATATTCCATTGCGTGCATGGAGGCAAGCAGCTACCCTCAATAGTACAAGTGTTACTTGGATTTACCATAGCAAACCCCAGAAGCAAATACGTATGCAGTGCGTTCAACACGGGGGTAAATTACAAGTAGTCAGCCAGCTTTCCTTCCTTATCTCTGAGATACTTCGATACTATAGCTAACGATACGTCCAAGGGTCAAGAGCTCCAGGAACATCCGTAAATAACCCACTCATCTCATTGCTCGGTTCCAACTGAGGCAATTCAAGACCGGAGTTCTGGAAATATTGGTCCAACAAGAGCTAGGAGAGAGAAAGATGGTTAGATAGTATTCATAATCGGTTCGGTCTCCATGAAAGGACATACCCAGTCGAGTGTCTCAGACCCATCAATCATTTCCGACATTGGCTCCATATATGGTAGCTCCGGGCTCACTGGAGGAATGTCCGTAAAAGTAACATCGTCACACGAGAAGCTAGCCTGACGCTCAGCCACCTTACGAGCCATCAAGTCCAGCGCCAGCGACGCAACTCGAGATTCCGGCGAAAGATGGCTAATAGCAGCCCAAATCCGTTGGGATGTTTTCAGTGCCCCAATCTCCCTCGAAACAAAGCCATGGTCTGCGCGCTCGTCTACGAAAGCCGTCGTATGAGATTCGAGACGCACAGACAGATCAAGACAGATGACCATTGCAGCTAGGAGAAAGTCATGAATTGTCAGTGAGGAGAGCATCCACTGGTCTTCTTGTAGACGGCCACCGGGTTGAAATGCTTGGTGCATGTCTGCTTGACGGGCGAGGATTTCAAGAGCCGCTTCTACGCAGAAGCGTCGTGAAGTCTCGAATTTGGCGTCTTGGGGCTCGTAGCGGATATACCGTCGGTGCAGAACAACCAGTCCTTTCAGGTACAGGAGTTCGATTTTGCAGCGGTTCAGGATTATCTCGGATGAGTCCATGAGAGACTGGCTGGTGTCTCTTCGTTTTAGAAAGTCAGGAACTAGACTGTAAGCCCCTCTCATCTCGGCATCCAAAGTAAGGGTTCTGCTGTAAGATGGTGGCGCAAGCGAAATTGTATGTGCAACGATCTTTTTGAAGATGTTCATTACACCAGCCTTGGCAATACAATAGAGGATAGGGGTGTATTCTGAGGACGGCCGGGACGGAGGCAATGCTGACATCCCAACATGGAGATCGGCGTCGTATAGATTCCTGGGAACATGAGTGTCACAACACTCAGCTGGTATCATGCTTGGAAGGCCTATCTGGAAACTCAAGAGAGCGTCTAATTGGAATATGTGCAGCCACACGCGACGTCTCATTTCACCATCAAACGGCGTCGTTGTTCCTGGGAGAGTGCTAGGATCACGGTGGTAGCCCATGCGGAATGCTAACCTCAGTATGATACCCATATCGAACCATTGTCGGGAGTTGGTTTTCATGTCACCCAAAAAGCCGCTCTGAAGATACAGAAGCAATGTTTCTAGTGCGTAGGCATTGGCTGTTCTATATCCTCCTAGTAAAAGGCACTGCGCTGTCTTCTGCTGAAGGATATCGGGCGATGGGATTGGGCCATTCAAAGCCCCATCTGCGTTCGCTTTCAGTCGAAAGTGGACTGATACACTGAGTAAAGCGAAAAGAAGCGCAATCCAAAGCACGGGAGCTTTTTGTGGTGCTTTCCAGAATTCCACATACTATCACCAGTCAGTTAGGACAAGGGATGATGCATCGAATAGCTCCGGAAAGGAAGCAAAACACGAATACGGGACTCACTTCATCCTGAAATTTCCCCGAGTGCACAATACCTGTCATTGTCCTAGAATCAGCCAGACATACATGGGAGGGTAGTTGCAAATGATATCCCACCTAGTACCATGTACGGAGCATTGAAATATCGGGAGACCAACATATCACAGATAGGGCGTGTGGGTAGCGAGACAAGGATATCCTTAATTTCCAATCGCGTTTCAGGCTCAAGAGCAAGGCTCACGTCTGGCTGTCCACTTCCACCGTCGCTCGTTGGCTCGCCGAGCGAGAAGGGATCAACGGCAGACAAGCTTTCTCGAACTTCCTTGATATCCTCCAATATAGAAACCCAGTGACTAGACTCGAAGTGACTAGTTTTACTAAGATGAGCCTTGGAAGTACTGGGAACTGCTTTCTGTAGAAGATCTTGGTCTCCGGTGCGAGGTTCATTGCTCGCAGCCAGCCCGGGCGCGGCGATGGATATTCCATGAGTATTAGGAAGGCTTCCATTCTCGTTAACTGTATGTGACCCTTTTAATTGTGGATGTGGGTTTGTTTGGGACACATTCTCTCCGACAAATGACTGGATTGTATCCTCGAGACGCTTCAGTCTGTCACTCAAGGCACGTTCCCTTGAAGTACGCGTCTTACCGCGTACAGCGTTAGAAGCGTACACGCAGTTAGATTCCACGTTGCGTTTGATGCAGGTATCACAGGGTTGAAGTCTGTTGCATTTCAGCCTGGGAAAACGTGAGTCTATGATATCAGATCCGGGGATGTAGTATGTGATAGCATGCTTACTTCCGTGTGCGACATGGTTCGCAGGAGAGTGGCGGTCGATTCCGTTTTTCAAATTTCAGAGACATTTTCTAGGAATGAGATTGGAATCAGAGACACTTAGATTAATTCAGTGTTCAACAGATTCCAAGGTTGGATTGGAGTATACGAAAGAAGGGCGAAGCGGAGATATTATCTCCGTCCTGTTATTTACGGTATTGATACAGTATTCTCTATAGTTACACGCCTTTTTCCGCCAACAGGGGTATGTAATATATACACAGTAGACGGAGATAATAAAGCCCTACGTCTTTCAATGGAGAGTCGAATGTAGAATCCAATCGACGGATATAATAAACCCGAGTACCACAGGCTTAAATACAGAATGGTGTCCTATCTAAACCGGCGAAAACGATATTTCATGGACGCTGATTCAGGTTTTGAACAGTAATACTACAACTTGCCGACTCTTCTCAAATTCAATCAAGACGTAATCATGCCTTTACTCTCGTCTTTAGAGGGTATCTCGTCAACAGTGCTCTCCAACACCTTCATCGAACTCCCTTACCCCGAAGGCAATCTCAGCGGACAGACAATCATCGTATCCGGTTCAAACCAAGGCCTCGGTCTCGAGGCCAGCCGCCACCTGTTGCGCCTAGGCGTGGAGAAGCTGATAATGGCCGTCCGCGATCTGAAGAAAGGCGAAGCTGCAAGACAAGAACTATTGCAATCCACCGGCCGCGAAGAAAGCTCAGTCAAGGTGTGGCTGCTGGATATGGATAGTTATGGCTCAGTCAAAAGCTTCGCCAGCCGTGCTGCAGCTCTACCACGTCTTGATGCTCTGTTGGCGAATGCCGGGCTCGCTACCAATACATTCAGTATATCGGAAGAAGACGAGAAAACCATCACCGTCAACGTGGTGAGCACGTTCTTGCTTATTGCCTTGCTTGTTCCCAAACTGCGAGAATCAGCTTCCAAGTTCAATATCACACCTCGCATCACCATCCCAAACTCAGCTCTGCATTATACCGCTCCTCTTGGGCAGTTGGATCCTCAGAATGAGGACGGTATTTTCAAATCGCTCAGCAATAAAGAAGCTTCCAATATGGCGGGTCGATATCCATTGTCAAAACTGTTGGTATTGTTCGGTGTGCGTGCGTTTGCGAATCAGTTTGTGCAGAGTAAAGCGCCGCTGGTGATCATCAACACGCCAAACCCCAGTTTCTGCAAGTCTCAACTAGCGCGGGAATCGGACAATGTCGGTCTCCGTGTTCGCGAAAAGCTGCTGGCTCGTAGCACAGAGGAGGGCAGTCGTGCTTTGGTACATGCGATCATGGCTGATGAGAGAAGTAATGGGCAGTATTTGACAAACTGTCGCATCCACAGGTCAGTCGGTTGCTGGGGTCTGTTTAGGAAAATCAAGTTAGCTAACTCTGTTCTCCAGTCCATCTTGTATCGTGACCGATAGTAAGGGGGTTATGATACAGGAAGCGTTTTTCAAGGAGCTGGTCACCAAGTTGGAGAGGATTGCCCCAGGCGTGACATCTTGTTTTTGAGGCCGTGTTGTCTTCATTCGTTGATATCCTGGGAAATGTCACATTTTGGTGTGCTCTGTCGTCGATAGATGTAGGTTTTATGACAGATAACGAGGGGTCCTAGTTATGGTAATACTGAGAGTTCAATCCTTTTTGTCTCAAAGACAAGACATGCAATCGTGTAGGTTTGGATAGAAGCGAGATCAGTCTCAACATAAGGGTGGAGATACGGCACAGGAGCATCGAGAGAGGGACTACGTAACAAGGCATCAAGGCAGGTGATAGATGGGAAGAAAAAGTTGAGACACAAGTGCATTCACTCCAGGTTAAGCTATATACAGGTGTGATGTCGAGAGGAATAAATAAACCACACCTCCATCTATCAATCCTACAGGCAGTCAATACTCCCGTAGTTGCTCTGAACCCCCCCCCAGAGGAGAAGAACGAGTAACATACGATTTCTCTCCTGTTCTGATAGAATTGAAGGAGTGCAGCCAGAGAAGCTCTCTTTTGATCTTGGACTTCAGTTGGTGAGTGATACCACGGTTTCCCATCTCACGAAGAGACAGGGGTATGCACCTTGGTACTTCCTTGAGGGTAAACCCAGAAGGAATTGGAAGCCCGTTGGTCAGAGGAAGAAAGGAGAGAGAAGGAGAACAAGAAGAGAGAGGGAGAGGGTTATGATGGGGACTAAGGGGACTAGGAAGACAAACAAAACAAACAATCGAATCATTGGCCAGTTGATACCAAAAGAATAAGGATCAAGAAGGATAGAGATTTCTGTAACACTAAACAAATCTAAATCTCGATCAGGAATAGAGGGGTAAGCGGCAGAGAAAGAGAGAAGGACGCCTTCCACTCTCCACATCCTATCATGCGGGATTACCTCTCATTCGTGAAGCCTTGAACTTGCTCACCCGTTTAGGCTCATCTTCCTCGGGAGGCAGAATATCCTGTTCCTCGTCGTCTTTAGGTGCGCCTTTCATGCGCTTTTGCATGTTGAAGAACTCCGACGCAATCTGCTTCTGATGAAGCTCCTCGTCGTAGTGATCCAGTTCAGGGGCCACTGCGGCCCCTGTTTTAACCTGCCGCTCCAAGACCTTATCGGCTAGAGTTCGGTCATGTGGAAATTGAGGCGGAGCAGGTTTCTCGATGATATCGGAGATTGGAGCGGAGAAGGGCTTGGGCTCTTTGGGTTTCGCGGGGAAGAGGACAGGTGGTACCGCAGATGGAGTTGTATTAGCCTGTTTGCGAAGGCGAGATTCGGTAACTTCTGAGGGATTTGCAATTGTAGCCCCAGTAGTAACAGATTCACTGCCGTTACTACCTGGAGCAGCGGCCCGAGCACTTCTGAACCGCGACACCTTCTTGGGAACAGCTGGTGTGGTTGGGGTGGGCTCCGGAGCACGGCTGGTCCGTTCAACAATGGAATCAGCGAGCACCTGAGGTTCGTCCTGTGGAGCAGGAACCTTTTCGGAGGTGGCCGGGGGTGCGGGAGCTGGTGCGATATCAAGATCATCGGCGAACGCAACCCGTTTCTTAGGTTTCTTCTCTTTGGTAGAAGTTCCAACCTCGGCGGGGGTCGCGATCTCTTGCTGCACTTCCTCGGGGAACGTCTCGGTATCTTTGCCCATGTTCATCAGGCCTCGGGCATTGAGTTTGGCCTCCAATTCCATCATCTGCTGGTGGTATTCCGCCGGAAGCCGGTTGTGAGAGCGGCCGTATTCGTCTTCATTATCTTCCTCGTCGTAGTCGTAATCGTAGTCCTCGTCAAAGGAAATCTCACTTCCGGACTCATCCATTTCCAACTCTGCCACAATAGCCCCCACCTCGTTGATCCCATAATCGAGCATTTCACGGCGAAGTCTTGCTTCTTCTGCAGATTCATTCACATCCGTGACAGGCGGCTGCATGCGATCTTCGGCAGTCACCACAGACTGAGGTTGAGAGAATTTCAGGGATGGGCCACTTGGCTCTGTAGTTGCATTGTCGCCGCTCGAGGGACCGTTCCGCTGATCTCCAGCCTCTGAGCTGACCGTCTCACCAACCCCGCCTTCAGCTGTAGCATCGGCGGGTGTTGCAGCAGTCTTCTCCGGCACACTCGTCTCCGGAATATCCTTCACACCAGCCTTCTTCAGCACATCCAGCAATTCCGAAGCCTCGTTACCAGGTGTATTGATCTTGCTCGAGACGACGTTTCCATTCTCATCAAGCTCCTCCATAATTTCCTGCATCGGGAAATCCGCACCATCCTGCAGCGGTGGCTGATCACTCAAGACCAAAGCGTCCAGCTCATTTTGGGCCTTCGACAGCCTCTTCTCCATAGTCGCAACATTCTGCTGCACGTAGTCGATGCGTCGTCCAAGAAGATCAACCACTTGTCCGCGAGACCGCGTCACACCTTGTGCACCAAGTATCACCTGCATTTCCTTCTGATCCACCAGCGTGCCTCCAAATTCCAGGGCCACGGCGAGGAATTCGTCTGTACTGGCGTCATCTTCTAGATTGCTGATCTCCTCGCGGAGTCCATCGTATTCTGCTTCCCAGGTTCGCCAGTGATAAAGCGATTTCTGAAGTTGGAGGATATTATCTTCGAGCGCAAGGCGCTGCTCTTCGAGAGCGTCGAGGTTGGGGTTCGGTATTCCCATGATTGTAATAAGAGAAAAGTCAGTGGCAGCTTCACACTGACAATGTCAACTTAATGAAATGGAGCAAAGAGAGGAGTTGCCGGAGGCAAAGGAAAAAAAAAGTCGCAAAAAAGGTGACGATGGTGTGGTCCGTGCGCATGGGTTGCTTATCAGCCTCAACCCAGTCTTGAGGGCCATCTCCTCCACGTCACTTTACTCTCGCCATGGCCTCCAATGCGGCTGCTCGCCGCGATGAAGACGGTAGGCTCTTGTTCGGCTTTGTTGTGATGCATAATGCTAACCACATCTTTTTACAGAGGTTTGCCCCGTCTGCAAATCGTCGCGATACCTCAACCCGGACATGCGCTTTCTCATTAACCCCGAATGCTACCACAAGATGTGCGAGTCGTGCGTGGACCGCATTTTTTCATCCGGTCCCGCAAACTGCCCAGTAGCAGGGTGTCGCAAGACGCTGCGGAAAAATCGGTTCCGCAAGCAGACATTCGAAGATATCGGGGTGGAGAGAGAAGTAGATATCCGGCGGCGAGTGATGCACATGTATGTCTCTTTCCAAAACCCGAGAGCAACCTGCGATATGCGAGGTCTAACAGTTTATCTCGATCAGCCTGAACCGCCGTGAAGAAGAATTTGATTCAAAACGTGCATATGACGACTTCCTCGAACAAAGAGAGGACATAATCGCGAACCTAGTAAGCCGCATCGACGTGGCCAAAACCGAAGCCCAGCTCCAAAAATACGCAGCAGAAAACATGCAATCCATCCGCGCAAACCAAGCTATAGAAGCCGAGGAAGCCTCCTCATTCCAAGCCCGCATGACCCTCGAACAAGAAGAAGCCCGCTTGCGCCGCCAAGCAGTACGCCAGGAATACGAGACCGAGCGGCGCGAGATCCAAGCCGGACGCGAGGATTTCCTCACAAGACTCGCCTCCGGCTCATCGACAGATGCCGCGGCCATCGCGCGCGAAGGACACAAGGTGTTGCTCAAAAAGTCGTCTGCGCGCCGCAGCGAGGAAGAACGCATTCGACAGAAACAGGCCGCGCTGCGGTTGGACAACAAGCGTGTGTCGAATCTTTCTACCGTGGAGCAGGCTGGTGCGGCGGATACGGGGCTTGTCAAAGGTCTGCGCAAGATCAAGACGCCCGAGCCGGAGAAGCCGTACGATCCGTTTATGGGCTATGTGCCCGAAAAGCGCGATTACTATTCTCTCCAGTCGTATTATCCGTCGCAGTATCTTGATCCTATTCGCAATGATGCGCGTATGCTGGCTGGTGGTTATGATTTGCGTGAATACTACTCGCGCACCCTGCTCGAGGCTTTTGCCGGTTTGAGCTGCTTTGTTGGGGAGGATATCTCTCAGCGAGATGCTGCTAATACTTCGAAGTCGACGGCCACAGAGGGTGCTTCTATGGCTGTGGAGGGTGGAGAGAACACCGTCTGAATGCTGCTTTGACTTGGTTTGCAATGGCTATGGGGGCTTGCATGGTATTTGGTTTGTTTTATGAGCTATTGAGCATAGCGACGGCGTTTTTTTTTCTATTCACTTGGGGTATCCCGGCCGTTACATATAGTATTACCATCATATCATCTAAAGAATGAACAAATATGTTGAGATTAACACAGATAACACAAAACAAGTAAACAGGCTGAAGGAGAGAGAGCTACGCAACCTTGAACAAGAAATGGAATATGTTATTTCCAAGGCCGCGATATGGCCACAATGACATTTGTGTATCAAGAACTACCTAACCAACAATCGATTACCCAAATCAATGAATTAAACATACAGATGGAACCATACTCCATGAAACAGCGCCAAAGTAGCAGCAAAGTAACCAGAATGCTATCAACACACGCAACGCGATGCAGGAAACATTAGCTTAGTGACCGTTCAGAGAAAGGTGACCAGTCATATCAGCAGTGCTCTCGATGCCCTCCAGGGCAAGTCCTCCTCGTCATCCAGGTCAATATGGCTGTGGCGAGAAGACTTATCGGTAGTACCAGTGACATCAGGTGCGTGGGACGCGCCAACATCGATTCCAATTGACTCGAGAGTCGCTTCCATTTCGTGCTCGGTCATTTCACGATCATCTTGCTTTTGGCCCTCCAAAACATCGTAAAGAGCGTAGATTTGGTCGGACTTCATGTCGATGTCCTTGAAGACTTTGTCAATCTTTTCTTGCAGGGCCTTGCGCGGGCGCTTGCCGAGCGAGGCGTCAAGCTTGTTGTAGGCGCTTTGGTATGTGGCCAGTTGCATCTTCAGATGAGAGAGTTCGTCCTCCAGGCCCTTGAGAACAGTAGCAAGAGCGACGGCGGGGGGTTGCGAGGGGCGCATGGTTGGCTCTTCGTTCCAGACGGATGGCTTGGGCATACGCTCTGACACGGGAATGGGTTTGGCGACCTTCACCGACTCGTGGTTGCAGGTGCCATCAGTGGAGTGACCATTGCAAACTGTGCAGTTCTGGCCATTGTGACGAGCAATGCTATCTAATGCTTTTTGGGTGACTTGTGGCAACTTGGATGGATCAGCTGCCGCCAAGTCGACGTGGTGGAGGGTGATATCAGGAAGGATGAAAGCGGATGTCATGTCGGCATTTCGCTGCTTCTTGCGCTGGGATGTTGCTGGCAACGAATTTTCTGAATGGCGTCGAGGGCGCTCTGCAATTGGTACTGTGAGACTACTGTCTCCCTCGGTATTTGTCTTTGAGGCAGTGGTAATATCTCCAGTAGCCGAGGCTGGCCGAGGGATTTCTGCTTTTGATTCGCGAAGAGAAGACTTGCGAGGGGCAGGAGTTTTCAAGATGCTCTGTCTGGTCGAGTTGACGGCCTCAGTAGGATTAGATTCCTTAGGGGCACTCGGGCGACGCTGCTTGCGCATCATTCTTTCTTCTTCCAATGTCTTGCGCAGACGAGAGATCTCATGTTCATCAATAACGCTCAACAAGGTAACGTCGGTTTCAGACGAAGCCTTCGTCTGCTCGGACACCTCCGGCCCAGTCACATCTTCAACTACCACTCGCTTCACGCGCTGTTTGGTCGTGTTGGGTTGTTTCCGGGAGCTCTTGGATTCGGAAGAGCGAGACACAGCTGGCTTCGATGGTTTAGAGGTCGATGTACGTCTGGATGATGGCATCTCGATAGAGAAGAGAGCCTCATCGGCACGTTCTTTTTCAAGGCGAGAAATTTCCTTATCCACTTGATTAGACACTTTGGAGCGGGAGTCATCATAGCGTCTGGTTCTCGTTGTTGAGCGGTTACTTTTCGATGTGATGTCTCTGGTGCTCCGACTAGCGTCTCCACTGCGCTCAGTGTAAAGCTGGCTGTCATCGACATCATCAGACACGGCTGAACTAGTTTCGGACTCAGCGGTGTCTTGTTCGCGAGCCTTGCGGCCCGAGGATCGGCTGAGCTGGGACCTGAGTTCCGCATTTTCCCGTCGCAATTCCTCGTTGTCGGCCTTCAGCTCTCGAGTTTCGAGATAAGCGGCGCCAAGTTGTGAGATAGCCGACTCTCGGTCATGGTTCAAGCGCTTGATGGCAGACTCTTGGACCTGGGCCTTTCGATCGGCAATGTCCAACTGGTTTTGTAAAGCGAGATTGGCTGCGTCTAACTTCTGGATCTCACTTTCCAGGCGCTTAGATCCCTTCTTGTGCGCATTATCCTCCGGTTCCGACTTAGCCGATGACTGGCGGGGTCTGTTCGCCTTCAAAGATGAGTTCTCCTGGCGATAACTGTCCATTTTGCGCTCTGCCTCAGACTTGAACATCTCCAATTCTGCCACCTTATCCTGAAGTAGTCTCAGATGAACAAACAGGGCCTTCTCATCTTCGGGGACGGGAACTGCATCCAGCGGCATGTGCTCATGGGGGGAGACACGTCTGTATGATCATGAAGTGGAGAAACGAATCGGGTAGAGCGCATCTTGCTCTGTCGGGAGTAAACAGGTGTGCCATCTTCGTACACACCAGAGACAAGTTCAGAGATGTTAGGGAGGTCGGGAAGAAGGAAGGATTGATGGGTCATGGTTTCACCAATAGTGTTAGTGTTGGTGTTGGTTGCATTGGCACTGCTTTTTCGGGGAGTTCCTGCGTTGGAAGCCGATTTGCGGAGTTCCTTCGCGTAGGCGTCCCGCGAAGCTCGCTCAATTGCGTCTGCAATCTCCTGTGAGGTGTTTGCGTTTCCAAAACGCGTCGAACGCGTTTTCGTGGCGATAGGGGCAGGTCTTTCATCGCCCAAAAATGAGCCCTCATAGCTGTCACGCACTTTTGCGTGCATATCGGAAAATGTCCGACGCTGGTCACGTTGAGCCTTCGAGACTTGGGGGCTCATTGTTTCTTTCTGTGCTAGGGTTGCTCGTCGCACCTGAGCGTTCTTTCGTAGGTTGTCACTGACTGCACGACGCGACGGACGCGTAGCAGCAACTGCCTTTTGTGGTGTAGGGTATTCAACGCGCATGGCGGGCGAGGATGAGCGTACACTGTTCTCGAAGCTCATCATAGAACTGCGCGAGTCGTCGCGCCCTGGTTTCTCAGCAGCGCGTCCCACCTCAACGGACATGTCGAGGTCGCTATGTGAAAGCTCGTCGTCCAACTCCTGTTCCTCCTCTTCGGAGGTCTGTATTGCGAAAATTCGGGGAAAGCGCGATCAAGTGTTGATGTGTTGATATCGTAGTCAAGCTCCTCGTCGACACGTCGTGTTGAGGTGCCCATTATTTCGTCGTCCAAATTGGTGAGCGAAAATGAATCGTCGTTTAAACCAGAATTTTTGTTCATTGGAGGCATTCTGGGAGTAAAAGGGTGAAGTTGGAGATTGGAGCTGGTTTGTTTTGAAGCAAAGTCGGAATGTTTGGGTCGGGCGCGTCTCGGCAACCCCGGGAATTCTGATTGGCTCCCCCCCCCAGAGCCGAACTACAGAATCGAATTGTTCACCTTATTCTACTTCTCCAGGTAGTTTTACTTACATGGCTAATATTTTACTATGTTGTTTGCAATACTAAAAGCCATGTCAAGCGTACGAGCATGGCTATTACTTGGGCAATGGTGTTAGTAAACATAATGTTCTCTAAAGAAGAATTCTAGTTGGCATCTTTTATAAACATGAGAAAGTATAATATGGATATAGTTGTGATAATAATTGCGTAACCACAGCACCCAGAGCAATTGTTATTGAGACGGCTATATGCTATGTGATTCATTTATGATTTGCAGGTGGGAGCATAGCCAGCAACCGTGCCTCGACACCAGCTGTGAAAAATCGCTCATCATCCCTCGAAACGGAGCACTCGCGAAATTCATACTCCCCTCTAAGTATGGAGTCTCGGACTTCTGTGAATGGATTCTAAAAGGCTCTATAGTATAGCTGACTCCCGCAATCCCGTCCAAATGGTATTGCCGATGCTCCACCTTCAAGTAACCAGCAAATTCCCTGAGTTTTAAAATCGGAACATATTCGTAAAGATAGCCTAAAAGGCAGCTTGTGTGGCTGCGGAAAAAACAGTGCGTACCAGGAGTATCCAGCCATCTTCTGATAAAGGAATCCAGCAGTTGATGTAACGGTGGAATAAAAGGCCATCTAGCAATTCTCTAGTGACAGCAGCTTGTCTGTGTGGCAATTTCCGGAAGCTTGATATCCCAATCAGAGGCAGCGGTGAGAGCGACCACAGGATCAAAGGGGCCCACGCCCTTGCATTGCGGTTCAACAAGATAGCAAGTGGCCTCCTCAATGTCGATGTACCGCGCTTCAAACTCAGGAGGCGGAGGGTGCCAACCTCTGCGGCTTTCTTGACATCACCCACGACGATGTGTACGTCAAAGACAACCGTGGATACCCCATAGTATGCTAAAGCATCTTCGCCCAGAGATAGCATGGTATGCCGCTTTCCTTGAGTAGGCGACATGCTGAATATCGCTTATCAGACCACGGGTCATCGCAAGTTTGTTTTGCATATCGTTCAAGGAGCCAACCTTCAATGAGTGAGGCTTCATTAAGGGTGGGAGACATCTGTAGGTTTTTAGAGGAGCTGCCCCTGGTTCCTAGGTACCCCACCTTGTGATGCAGCCGTCATGAGCTCGTTCTTGTTACCCTCGAGGACACCGATGCCTAAGATAGTAGACAGTCTCTACCTAGTTATATAACTAGCCAGTGCGCATATCCACGGATGGCTACGCTACATATATATTATGAAGGATGAATCAGAGCTGTCAAGGGCCCCTGAGGTTTTTGTCAAGGTCTAGTTTCATTGTATGAAACTGATTTGGAACACTAGTTGTTCAGATGAGAGTCAACATTAAACTTCTTATTCCCGACGGCCAATATTTCTCTGCTTGATTGATATGTATGAAGCTAAGGAGCCCTTTGAATTTCCTGGTTGTTTCGTAATGATTGTTCCGCGACAACTGTCTCACTTCGAACCGAACACACTTCCTTACTACGGAGTATAAAACCCTAAATTTCCTAGTTGTTTCGTAATGATCCTTCCACGACTCCTGTTTCACTTCGAACCGAACGCGCTTTCCTTACTACGGAGTATAAAACCGCCAAGATATTATAATAATGGAAGCTCCTCCTGAAACCACGGACAAATGACTTCGAACCGAACGCTCTTCTTTACTATAAAAACCCTTAATTGCCAGTTCATAATGTACTATACCACGCACAAATCGTTCACATCAAGAGAGTCGTACAGATGAAAATCCAATTCAATCAGCTGCTAGGGCTCGCTCCTTGGGGGTTACTCTGCCTCTGGACACAGGTTGTCGAGGCATGCCCAACCTCTCCCGGTTCGCTTTCGATACCTAATCTTAAAGCTGGATTTCCACTCCAAAGCCATCCCTCTCGTTCTCTTAACTCACGCGCCGCCGGAAATGGTGCCTGCAAACTCAAGCCGACTTCAGTGGATCTCAGCGAGGGTATCGGTGCTACAGACCAGACTTTTGCCCCAAGCACTGGCACCCTCAACGCCTATATGATTTTCGTTGACTTCCCTGATGCACCGGCCTCAGAGGCCACCGAGGAATTACACCAGCTCTTCATCCCCGGTGCACCAGACTGGTACACCAGTTCCTCCTTTGGCCAACTTAGTCTCAACGTCAACGCCGACACATCCCGCTTCTATCGCATGCCCAGAGAATCCACCGCCTACCCCTACGACCGGGGGATTACCTCAGAGCAGCTAGCAGAGTACATCCAAGACGCGCTGAACTCCGTCGGCACGGCCATCAACTTCGCCGGCACCGATGTTCTCTATATCGTTCCGACCAAGGCAGCAAGTCACATCTCGTTCTCGCCTACCTACATGAGCCCAATTACGGCAGGGGATGGAACTATTATCGGTAAGACTGTCACCTTCGGCCAAGACGCTCCTAACTCATGGGGCTTCCTGGTGGTGAACCACGAGACTGGACACGCAATGGGTTTACCGGATCTGTATCCGAGCTCGGGTACTGGCGACAGCACCACCATGTACGTTGGCGGGCATGACGTTATGGGCTTGATTACCGGCGCCCTTCCGGATTACTTTGCGTGGCACAAGTGGAAACTGGGATGGTTTTCCGATGACCAGTTCGATTGCGTGGATGGTGCTGGATCGACAACTCACACCATTACCCCTGTCGGAACGAAGGAGGGCGTCAAGGGAGTCGTTGTGAAGCGGGATGAGACTACTGCTATTGTCGCTGAGGTGAGAACCCAGAATGGCGCGGATAGCAGTGCTTGCAGTACGGGAGTCCTTGTCTATACGGTATCAACATCCACGGCTTCGGGCCAAGGCCCTATTCGCGTCCATGATGCGACCCCAAGTTCTGGGGGGTGTGGTGGGGACGAACTCAATGATGCCCATTTCACATTCGAGGCTGGCCGGGAAACTTTTGTTTCGGAAGATGGAGTCACAATTACGGTGGTTGGACAGCAGGGAGATGAATATACCGTTACAGTCGAGGTGGCGTGAGTGGAGTATATCGTCGGAGTGGATTCTATTTACGTCCTCGAAACCCATGTGTCTTCAAGTTAATTCGTGTAAGTACATATTTGTCAGGGCAATAGATGCAGATACAGACCTAAGGCCAGGTGCTAAGCTAGAAACCAAATCACATTGAATAAACATTTATTTACTGGCGGAGTTAAGTATTCATCATGAGCTCGTGGAGGGAAAAAAAACATATAACTATTCAAGTCAATTCATGCTGAAGACTTAACAAATTTATTTCTCAAAACACAAGCTGATAGGTACTTCTCCCTGTGGAGACCTGGCCAATTTGCTGTCATTCCGCGGCGCTTCGCGCGGCATCAGATCTATTTGTGATCCCAAGGCAATATAGAACCTTTGCCAGCTTCTTCTAGAAGCAGGCCATTAGTTTATTGTACTAATATGGTGTATGATTAGCCGATTCGATATATATCCTGAGTATGTCCTTATGTGCATACATAGGGGGTGGTGCTGGTACTCCGTACGCTTAGCACCGTTTTCGCTCTCGGCCAGAGTAATCTAATTGATTCTACATATGATCTACATGTCAGCACCGAACCTTGAAACGGACGATCATGTCTTAATTTTCTCACTGCAGCAGGGGATTCTTGACGGCAATGACCTTTTGGCCGAGTCTATCACCTACATACGGAGTGACCCTATAGCACTTGAGTACGTAGGCAATTTGTTTTCATGTACCATATGGATCTGATGAAGGGGAAGAAAACACTGGACCAAAAGTAACACGCTACAGTAGGCGTATGTACAACATGCTTGCTCTCCAATCATTCCTTCTATTCCTTCTAGTTCCTTAAATTGTTGCCGCAATTTATAAAATATCTCAATTCACTGCATGTTGCTTTGGTTTCTTGTAGTTGGTGGGACATATTTTTGGTCGATGTAACCTGGAGGAGGCGATGCTCAAACACATCATGTGCAAAGTAGTAAACCGAGGTCGCCAGCAATGGTAGATTACGAATATATCGATTTTGCTTGAAGCCTCCGGGTACCAAATGAGTATAGGGCATGGTAATCTCATCTGATAGGGACGGAGATATACCAAAGGGCTCCACCGCTAGAGCCACAGAAACTCTATCCGTGAGCTTAGAAGGAACAAGCTAGTCTTGGAAAACTCAGGTAAGACATAATTGCCCTCGACGGAAAGAAACTATGTAGATTATAATGAAGTGAGGATGTTGCACATGAGATTTGGACGATCACCACATGCTGAAATTCCCCGTTGGGCTAGTATATAAATTGGTACCTCTAGTGACATGTATCTCCATACTAAAATATAGTATACCTAAGTACTGCAAAGTACCCCAGTCACGGGTAGGGCATCTCCCGGTCCACGTGTTTCAGCTTCAAGCAAGAGCGACGGACCAATCAGCGGGACCAAAACACTCACGAGCACAACGTTCGCAAGGGTTAACCCAAATGCTTTACAGTCAGGTCGGCATTTAAAAATGGACTGGTTCCCCCTCTACGCATTCTATATGCTCACAGGTGTCACGGATTAGTCAAGCTGTGATCTCGTCTACTCATTCACTGGTGTGATGGCGGCGTTCTCCAAACAAAATCGTGGGGAGGAAGAGGGTCTTCTCGGAGAGAAACAAGAGCGAGGCTGGAAACAGCAACGCCAGCAATCTTCCCGAAGATGGACAGCATTGACCATCATGTCCCTGCTGGGCACTTTCGCCCTGGTTGTGTACTTCGCGAAGGAAACCCAGTGCAACCCTCCCACACGTTCCACAACCCAGCCTGACCTACCTGTGACTTCCCCCGTGGACATGTCAAAGAGATCTGACTGCAATACTGTCGATGGCGGTTACCAATGCAATTCCGAGCTCTCACACAAGTGGGGCCATTATTCGCCCTATTTCTCTCTTTCCGAAGAATCATCCATCTCGGATGAGGTACCTCATGATTGTCAGATCACCTTTGCTCAAGTGATCTCCCGTCATGGTGCTCGATTCCCGTCCGCGAAGAAGAGCAAAGTATATGCCAAGCTCATTGAAAATATCCAAGCGAACGCGACTGCATACAAGGGCAACACGAAGTTCCTCCGCTCATACAAGTACATCATGGGCGGTGATGATTTGGTACCCTTCGGAGTGAACCAGATGGTGGACTCGGGGACGAAATTCTACCAGCGTTACGAGGCGTTGGCGAAGAAAGCTGTGCCCTTCATTCGGTCATCTGACTCAGGGCGGGTTGTGGCTTCAGGTGCGAATTTTATCAAGGGATTCCAGAAGGCGAAGTTGGATGACAAAAATGCCAATCACCGTCAACCAAGCCCCAAAACCAATGTCATCATCTCAGAGGAGTCTGGCACCAACAACACTCTGAACCACAGCGAAACCTGTCCTAAATTCGAAGACAATGAACTGGGCGACAAGGTCGAAGAAAAATACATGAAAATCTTTGTGCCGCCCATCCGAGCTCGTCTCGAGGCCGATCTCCCTGGCGTTAAACTTGAAGATATCGATGTTGTCAGTCTGATGGACATCTGTCCTTTCGAGACAGTGTCTTCAAGTGACGATGCAGCCGAGCTATCTCCATTCTGCGACCTCTTCACCCCGACCGAATGGAGCCAATACGACTACCTCCAGTCGTTGAGCAAGTACTACGGTTATGGCGCCGGCAATCCTCTCGGCCCGACCCAGGGTGTCGGTTTCGTAAACGAACTGATCGCCCGACTCACTCGCCACCCAGTGAAGGACCACACAAGCACAAACCGTACGCTCGATGCCCCCGGCGCTGCGACATTCCCCCTCAACTACACCATGTACGCCGACTTCACGCATGACAACGGAATGATTCCGTTCTTCTTTGCTTTGGGCTTATACAACGGCACCGCTCCACTCTCGCTCACCCACGTCCAGTCTCCTAGCCAAACAGACGGGTTCTCTTCGGCCTGGACGGTCCCTTTCGGTGCTCGGGCTTATGTCGAGATGATGCAATGTCGTCGGGAGCCTGAGCCGCTTGTGCGAGTCCTCGTTAATGACCGTGTCATTCCGCTGCACGGTTGCCCGGTGGATAAACTTGGCCGTTGTCGCCGTCGTGATTTCGTGAAAGGGCTTACTTTTGCACGCTCTGGCGGCGACTGGGCCAAGTGTTATAAATAGGGGGGGCTTGAAAATAATAGTGCAGAGTTGGTCCTCTTTCAGCACATTCGTGTTTGACGATACCCTAAAGATTGCGTCCCTTACATACACATCCATATTTTTTAGTCAATATTAATGCGGTATATGTTACCATGAAAGCCGTCCCAGAACAATATAATTGTACCCAAATATATATTCGAGGGGCTCTAACACGTGCAAGTCATAATAAGGTAATTCAAACAGCCCCCAACTCCAAAAAAGTATCCAAAAAAGTAGTCATCATGTTTTAGACACCTCTCTGCCTCTCCTTTTTACATACTCCAATGTGAGTGACCATTCCTTTTAACGCGATGCGGAGCAGAAAGAACCCACGCCTCCCAAAGAGGCATCTGCTCACGCAAGACATGCACACCGTCATCCCCTAGATCCTCACTAGACAAAGCACGCAGTCTCTCGAGTGACGTCTGTCTCAGCGGCAATCGCCTACCCGCTACCAAAGCAGGGAGGCCATCGGACGCGAGCGGGGTCGTAGTCGGCGACTGAACAGCCGAGGACGTACCAGCCGCAACAGTAAGAGAAGACGGCACAGGGCCAGCAGGGTAATCATCAAAAACCTCCACACCGTTTGAGACAGAAGCAGAATCAAAATGTGCAGCATAGTCAATGTCCTTCAGAACCAGCCGCTCCAGCTGCTCCATTTCCTCACGCAGGACAACCAGGACATCGCGCCACAAACCGCCAGGCCGGAGGTAGACGCCGAGTAGGCGGAAATCGCGTAGCTGGGCACTATGGCGACGTGCTAGTGCGACGATCTCATCTGCGCTCAGGCGCCAGCCTTGAATACTGAGTTTGCGGAGGGTTTTCCAGCGGATGTGGTGGAAGAGTAGCTCGAGGTCGAGGTCTAGGGGTGTTTTGCTGAGGAAGCCGATGTGGATGGCGATGAGGTTTTTGGCCGCGATGAAGAAGTGGTGGAAGACGCCTGAAAGGTCGGCCATGGTCGTAGTAATGTCGGTTGCTGAGTGGAAGTTTATGTCGAGGCTTGTGAGGCGTCCGCCCATGGCGGCGAGGGTTGTTGACGGGGCATGGAGGAGCTGCAATGTTGCTTCGGGGCTGATCTGGGGCCCTGTGAAGCGGATGGAGCTGCATTTTGAATCGAGGAGTGCGATGCTGAGATTTGTTACGGCGCGCGAGCAGGAGGTTTCCCAGTCGAAGCGGATGCTTGCGGTGCTGGTGCTGGTCACCAGTGAGTGGTCGCGTATAAAGTCGATGAGGTATTCGTCTGCTTCGTCTTGGAGTCTTAGGAGTTTTATTTCCTGTAGGGCTGAGAATGATGCGATTGCACGGCGGAGGCGGGTTCGGTCATTGTTGGTTTCAGTTAGATTGGTTTGTTCACGCAGTCGGCGGCTGTGCAGTTGGGATATTTCGGGATTCTCTGACCCCAATGTTCGCAGTGTCCGGGCCCAACCTGTATTTTGCTCTTAGTCAATTTGCTCGCTTGTATATGGGAGATTGAAGAGCTGGTACCGCTTCCTTGATAAAAGGGTCGCACCATGTACGTGATGGTCTTCACATAGTAGGCCAGCTGCATGTCTACCAGTTCATCTAGTCGCCGGAAACCGTGCTCAGAGAAGCGCAGAGTAAATCGGTTAAACTTGTAAGGGGTGCCGATTCGCATGAAGCGCTTGCAGACGAGTCGAAATTGATCCAGATCGGACACTTCGACATGTTGGTCGCCAGGCCTGGAAGTATGCCCGTTTCCATTGAATCTGCCGTTTAGGGCTCGAGGTGCGGGTTCGAGGAGAAGGACAATATCTCGCTCAGTAGCTCGTCAGCGAGATCATAAATGTGACGTGGCTGGGCCATGATCGGCGCGCGCAGCCGAAGCATCGGCTGCTTGATGAAGTAGCAGCAACATGGAAATATGGAGGAATTGAGGGAAAGTCGACGTTCTTGACTTGTCCCCAAGACCGGAGAGACAAGTCACGGAGGGAATTAGGGAGGAGGGGAAACGAGAAATAAAAATTTTAAAAAAATTAACTAAAATTGATATCCAATACTCGACTCGTCGCCGTTCTCCTGCAGACACTAGTAGGACAGTTGACTTGTCTCACCATGCATGGCGAGAGCTCTCGCCCTAACGATTGATTTCGCGACCGGGGACGATCGTCTAGTGCCTGGTTTAGCGCCCTCTGCACTGACAAGCCGGACTTTCTGACCCGATCCGGTTGATTTCATTGGCGACGGTGCCACACAGGAATCACATGATTGATTGACCCTGCGGCCAGCCAGCGCGCGAACTTGCAGAAAAGGCCATTGGATGAGTGTGAGTAGTGTTGGAGAGGGGGACTAATGCAGACCCCGCCGGCAAGTCGTCACATCATGCAGGGTGATGGACCATGCGTGTGGGTTATGTGCCTGCCCAAAAGGATTGGGGGTTAATGACCGAAATCAAGACAAACTAATGTATGTACATGTGTTTCAGAGATTATCTACTAGCTGTCGGATCTTCCATATCATTACGTGCCGTGTGCATGCAACCTATCAGACCTTCGCAAGATGGGCTCGGCGCCGTCTGACATCTGTGCTGCTGATTTTGGTCTCAAAGCCCTCAATGTCAGTGACTGTGGCAGCCTCCCCAGACTGGAGTACGTCCACCTCGAATACGGCAAGGCCTTTCCATCCCTTCTTCACCCGCTCTTCGTTGACGGCCGCCCCTCCTGAGTGCGTCTCCTTCGAAACAACAATTGCTCCAAGGTTCTCCTCGGTAATCGTTGGCCCAAATGGATCGGAGATCTCCACAAATTCAAACGCCAGGTTGGGCTGGGTCCTTACGACGACAATCTTGCCATTGGGACCTGGCGTAAAGGCACGTTCAATCTGCGGTGATCTCTTTTCAGGCGAGAAATCCATAATGGCCGTTAGGAAAGCTGCAGTACTCTGCCAACGCTCCTCCCAACTCTCAAGAAATTCGGCATATTTTTTATTGACCAACAGCGCATCCCCGGTCACTCCGATAGTCAGGCGGCCCTCCTGCCCCCGGTCCCGCGGTTCCAGAACCAATGCAACTGCTGTGAGCAGAAGTTTGTGACCAACATGAAGGTGATCAAATGTGCCACCAACAACCACAGAATAATGTGGAATGGATGGATGTTGGTCGTCAGGAATTAGCAGGCGGCCAGAGATCGTCCAGTCAGGCTCGCTTGTGATGGCTTGCATGCTTGCCGCCCTGCCGTCCCGACCCTGGCTGCCGACACTGTTGGTGAAGGAATTAGCCAAAGTTTGGCCTGTTGTGTTGGACAAATAGAAAACATAATCCCAACAGCGCCCCGAATTAGCTAGTGATTGGATGTCCAGAATGGGCCCAAAGCGAGAACTACCAGAGGCCTGGATGGCCGAGATGTTCTCATTTGCATCGATAAATACCACCCGGGTGTCAATGCCACCTGGAGAGTCTAATTCAATGTTATGTGTTGCACAGACAGCACCAACCAGGGTATAGACGCTGGTCAGGTAATGTTGGAGTTGTGCAAACACTTTGGCCCGAGGTTGGCAGCTCGGGGAAAGAAGATCTGGAATGGCCAGAGCAATATCCAGCACAGCTGTAAGGTTGGATCCGCTCAAGGCATTTGAGAGCTTAGTGTAGACGTCCACCAAGGATGGCTGGAAGGCATCTTTAACTTGGGGAAAAGAAAAGGCTGGAGGCGGGGGAAGTAGTAGTAAAGCCGAGGGTGAATTGATGTGATCGGAAGCCATGGTGTGAAGAATATATAATTACAGCAACGAGCACTGGGGTTAACATTCAAGTCAAGAGATGTAAGATCAACAAAGAAACCAAGAAACCTGAGAAATCACATAGAGATCACAGAAACAAAAGAACCACAATTCCCTGAAGAAGTGATCGGATCCATCCCCATCGCAGGCTGGGGTACCCGGCTGAGTCAGCTATTCTCGTGGGATGACACCGCCCTCTGTCCTCGACTCTACAACTCTCTGATCGAGATGAGGATGCCATTGAGAGCCAAGTGACCTGATAAGCTGGAATGATATCTGGCTGACACGGTCCTCTGGTTGGAGCTCCTTCAAAGCCCCGCTATGTCCCCGATTTGGTGCATCCCCCAACCTCCTTCACTGGTCTCGATCGAGAAACAGTGGAGCTCATCCTCCCAACTACGATCCATCGCACCATCCCCTGCCTAGACGGCGCTCTTGCTCTCCAGCATAGTCCGCATCATGTCGAATCCCGCCTCCTACGACTCTCACCGGCGCTCAGCTGTGTTCAGTCGCCAGCCGGAGGAGCTTCACATTCCATCAACCGGGCCAATCAACCCGAACCTGTCCCGCCAATCCTCCTCGCACGACTATCCCACCACATCGGACGCAGGTGCCCGACTCCCCTCGATCAACGTACAACAGAGCTCTCAGTACGGCGGCGACGGGAACACTAGCAGCAGTGCCCTTCCCGGAGCCTTGCAGCCAGGGAACCAGAACCGTCCGGCTGCAGTATCAATAAATACCGCCCCATCAGTCGTCCCTACCATGCCGCAGTCATCGTCGCAGTCCAACCACCGAGCCAGCATGATCAATTCGCATGGACATTCACGATCTAGCCCCGCCGGGTTCGACCAATCCATGTACAAACAACATGCTGCGCCTGATGGCTCCAAATATCCCTCCTCCCCTGGAGCATTTTCGCCTCACACCCCGCAAGGTTCCAAGTATTCTCCTCTTGGCCTCGCCGATATCAGGCCCTCCGGTGAACACTTGTTGAGCGAGGCACTTATGAACCCCGGAATGTCATCAATGTCTTACAATAACGGAGACAACCAGGTGCCGACCAACAGCAATTACGTGGCCCCATGGCCTATATACGCGGTGGATTGGTGCAAATGGCCCATCACAGGCAACTCGGGCTTTGGTGGAAAGCTAGCCATGGGAAGCTATTTAGAAGACAGTCACAACTATGTATGTGCATCCACCCTATGGATGAATATGTTTGTGCTAACCAGTTAATAGATTCAAATCCTCGATACACACTGGACGCAACCAGATCCCGACACACCAGATGCGGCCGCAGGGGAGATCAAACTCGACTATGTGAAAACAGCCGAGGCAACACATTCTTACCCTGTTACCCGCATCCTCTGGGAGCCTCCCTCATCTCAGAAGCAATCGACTGATTTGCTGGCCACGTCAGGAGACCATCTTCGCTTATGGTCACTGCCAAATTCTCAGCCTCTCCAAAGCTCGAACTCGATCACTCGTCCCATGAACCAGCGAGAGCCCGCCACCTCCAAACTGTCCCCGTTGGCTTTGCTGTCTAACTCAAAATCCCCCGAGCACACTGCGCCTATTACCTCTCTTGACTGGAACACAATTTCTCCAAGTCTGATCATTACTTCGAGCATTGACACAACTTGCACCATCTGGGACATTCCCACATTGACAGCGAAGACGCAACTGATTGCCCACGACAAGGAGGTGTATGACGTTCGCTTCTGCGCCAACAGTGTCGATGTCTTTGTAAGCTGTGGTGCTGACGGCAGTGTGCGAATGTTCGATCTGCGAAGCCTTGAGCATAGCACAATCATTTACGAGCCGACGGATAAGAACGAGAAGCGTAAGTGTCTGCCAAACTATAATTACGTGCTCTGAATCCTGACAATATCTTCAGCAGTCATGAGCCCAGGAGCTCCTGGGAGCTCCAGCCCCCCGGTCAATCACAGACCGGCCTCTACCCTCCGCCTTTGTTGAGGATCGCAGGTATGGATGGCATACCAAAACATGGAGTATAATTACGAGCTAACGCAATTTCCCAGCATCCCCACATGATGCCCACCTCCTGGCAACATTCTCACAGGACTCCAGTGTTGTCCGCGTTCTCGACGTCCGACAACCAGGCCAGGCCCTATTGGAACTGAAGGGCCATTCAGCTGCCTTGAACTGCGTAGAGTGGTCTCCAAGCCGTCGCGGCATCCTCGCATCCGGTGGCGATGATAGCATGGTTCTCCTCTGGGACCTCATCAACCAGCACAACGCCGCACCAGTTGCTTCCCCTCCCTCCAACACCCCAGGAGCGCCGCCTTCTACAACCTCGGAGCGTGGCCCAGCCGGCGTCTGGCAGAGTGAATACGAAGTGTCCAACATCAGCTGGTCCCCACAAGGCGGGCCTAACCACACCGGCCAGCCACGGGAATGGCTGGGAGTGTGCGGTGGACGAGGACTAACGGGTGTTGCTTTATGAGCCAACCAGAAAATTAGGTCTTGATTTCCCTACTTCCGTCTCTTCTTTTCCCTGGAGCTTTCCGACAACCCTGGCTCTTGCATTAGATGGTCCAATCTCTGATATTTGTTTCTGTTTGCCGCGATCTATTGCTTCGCGTGCCCACAGCATCTCCTGTTTTATTTTGCTTTGTTTGTGTGCTTCGCCAGTACTGTCGGCCTTTCTGTGTCTGATCCGGTACGCTATTTGCATAGGTCCAGCGAGAACCCGGCGATCTTCATGGACTGCTCTTGTGTCTATTGATTGGCCGTACTTCTGACTTGTTTGGTACGAGTGAATGAATGAACGAACTACACATTGGATATGTACCACTTGCTATTAGCTGAGAATGGCCTTAGGCCATCTATCCTACTTGAATTATCTTACTCCAAGCTTATAGTAACCATCTTGGAACAACTAAGTTAAGGTCAACTGCACTGTGACCATTCGCTGCATGAATAGAAAGCGCGTATAAGTTGGTGGTTATTAAATGTTTTGCTCCATTTTGTATGGTATATTTACCTACTTTCATTTTCTGTTGAAGGAGAGGTAGGACGTGATAGTCTTAGGATAGTCTTAGTTCGATCACAGGTCTAAGTAACAGGAGCATGGAGACCAACGGTCTAATACAATAAAAATAACCAAAAAGGCTCGCCCAGCGAGCAGGTATCATATGGAGTACAGGTGTAGCAAGACAGAGAAAGCAACCGCTAACGATCACAGTCTAATATAAACAGATTGTTGCAAACAACGGACAGCTTCACTCTGCGCGGGTAGCCAGGGTTGGACGACTGAGTGTCGGACCCTTGGAAATGAGACGATCTTCGAGCGACCGCGCAAACTTGACGCTGGGGATGTCCACGGCGCGCCAGAACACATCGCCTAGCCAGATGGCGACGGGAAGGCAGATGAGCCAGCCAATGAGGAAACCGAGGCAGTATTGGAAGTTGGTCTCTTTGCCGGTGAGATTCCAGATGTTGGGCATGATGGAATAGCCCAGACAGTGGAGGACGGGGCCATGGACGACGTAGAATGCAAAGGAGATCTTGCCTAGATATTGGGAGAAGGAATTTGTGAAGAGTTTCTGGATGTCAGGGGAGTGGTTGATAGAGAAGACGATAAGGACGGCTCCGATAGTCTGCGCGAAGCGGTGCGGTTCTGGGTACGTCTTGGGGGTGATGTGCCACAGCCAGCTGTAGAAAGGTGTCCATTTGAACCCGATGTTGGGACATGAACCGAAGTACAGACCGACTATGAAGAGCGAGATCCATAGCCCGCGGCGGGAGACTCTGATGGTGGTTTTGCTGCCGGGACTGAGGCGAATGGTTGTTTTGTCGTCTTCTACCGCCGGTCGTGCGGATGGCTCCCAGGTTCCGTAGATGAGATCCACTTCGGCCATCAGCATGCCAAAGAGGAATAAGACGATTTCCCAGCGACCATAACGCATGCAGAACCAAGTCAAGCCAGAGACTACTGTCATGCGCACCGGTGCCACCAAGCGTGATGTCCCCATGATGACAATGAATAGGATAAGGGAGGAGCGGAATTCGAGAGGAATTGTCCAGAGATGCGGATTGTAATAGTTGTAGTACAGCGCATAATCGAATGGGTTCATCAAGGTCGCCAATGTGACCCACAAGTCATCGCTTTGTTTTGAGAAGGATTTATACACACGTGGATGTTGCTCGTTAGTACCGAGGATTGTGTGTCCCTCCTTGATGACGCTATGGGAGTAATTATACAGTCCGAGGCGAACAGCCACAAAGACGCAAAGAACCCCAGTAATTGCGGGGATATATAAACGAAATGCCCGACGGAAGGTTCCTGATGCGAGCACGGTGAAAGTTTGATCGAAGGACCTGCTCCGAATTGTTTTCAGCGGTTTATATGACAGAACGTAGCCGGAGAGGACGAAGAAGATGGCCACCATAATGTGACCAGAGATCAGCATATGGAAGAAGGGCAGCTGGTGAATCCCAAAGTTCTCCTTGCCAAATCCCCATCCTATCGCGACTTTCCATGTGTATGTGAAGAAGAAATGGAAGTTGAAGACCAGTAGACAGGCCCAGCCACGCAGCCCGTCTAGAGCCGCGATGGCATGAAGCTTCGCAGGCTGGGGTGGCGAACCGCCCACTAAATGTTGTAGGAAACTTGGTGTGAGTGCAAGTGTCAACCTGTGCCATGTGTCTTCAGAATATGCCAGCCAGTCTTCTTGCGACATCTTCGGTGCCAGTCCGTCGGGATGCGCGAGGATGTTGGAGGGGTGAAATTGAGAAAAGCCATTCCAGCGGGGGGTGATTGTCGAGTCGGATTCCGAGGCAGATTCCAGATCTTTCAAAGGGATATCGGAGGCGGAGGTGGTGGCCCGATCGTCGTGGGATGTCATCTTGTTATGCTATGTTGGTCGATCGCAAATGGACATGTCCAGAGGGGCAAAAGCCTTGATTTACACAGGTTAACAGACAAAAGGAAGCATGCCGGTATAATTGAGAAAGTCGAGAGGAAACTGGACAGTTCACTCCAGCGAGGAGCGGGTGATGCGGAGGTCGGCGAATTCGGGCAAATACGTCAGCAGGGGCTGTTTCACCGCCACAGAGAATGGCGAAAGATTAGGTGAAATTGGAAATTAAATGAGAGTCAGGGATAGTTAAGGAGAGTAGGAGAGTCGACGAGTCGAAGAGTCAAGAGATTAAAGTAAAGACAAGGCAGAGAGCCGATCGATTGCCGTTTTCGTTAAAGCCGGATTCAGAAGGTGACTGTACATAAAAAGCATTTGGTATTTTGATATGACTGAGGCTATAGTTCAAGATACAATTACACTTATGTGGGTTTAGTTTTATATCCGTGGACTATGGATGTGTTCTTGAGATGTTCTCCAGGCTGACGCGTCAGTATCGGGAAGTCAGCATCCTACATAGCTACATATCTTCTTCTCTCATTGAGTTGCGGGACATTCATAGGCTGGTTCTCAAAATAAGAGTAGAAATTCTCATATCATTTTCCAAGTATTTCAGGTAGAAAAGAAACCAATCCGTTTACTCGTCAGCATCATCCGACTCAACATCACCATCAACATCACCATCAACATCATCACCACCATCAACATCAGAATCAACAACGTCCGAATTTAGATCCACCGAGCCAACACCCAGAGAACCAACACCCCCCGATTCAACTTCCGATTCATCATTCTCAGATCTCGCATCCGCCGAACCAGTATCATCATCACCATGCTCAGAAGCAGAATCGTAGAAAGGGTTCGGCTCGTTATCTTCAAGAGCCTCCTCGTCCGATCCATCATCTCCAGCAAACTTCGACAATTTCTTGATATCGTACTCCACACGAGCACGAACCTCACGTAGATCCTCACGAATGGTAATCATGCCAGTGATGTCACTTGCTAGCGAGCCGTCATCCAAAGGCGTTCTGTACCATTTGGCAGAGTAGGTAGGACCATGTTGCTGGGATTGAGTGGAAGTAGAAGAAGGAACTCCAGGATGAGCAGGCACAGATAAACGTCCCACAACTTGAGCAAAACTACCCTGTGGAAGGATGCCATTGTTTGCACGAATCCACTCGATGATCCATTTTGGAGGATTAAGGCCCCGAAAGCTGCACTCCGTTGGTTGGTAATCAAATGCGCAGTTCATACATGCACCAGTAAACAGAGCCCTTCCGGAACCTTGTGGGTGCATAACAACACAAGATTCGAAAGCACGACGCTCTCTTACACATCGCGCACACCCTTGTCCAGGCAAAGCAGCCGTACCAAAGCGTTGACCAAGCGCAGCTCGACGTCGTTTCTGGGTCGTCAGATGATTCTTATAACCACAACGCCAGTCGAGGTCGCGGATTGGGGGCAAGGAAATTATTCTCAACTCGGTCGTAGCGGTGCAAAATTTCAACATGGGGTTCCCTGCAGTGTCAAGTGTCGGGTGGGCTATCGAAAACATTAGAATGAAACCGTAGGAAGGGATCTGTGAACCATTAGAAGGAACATAATCAGTTACTTTCTGAAGCAGTTTGGGCCACAGCCTCAGCTGCGGGATCCCAACGAGGAGGGGAGTTAGTCTCTACAGATGAGCCAGAGACCTCGTTGCTAGGCTCATTGCTCAACCTAGGACGTTTCTTGGCTACATTAATGTGTTAGGTCGATAAGAACTTGGATATATTTAAATGAAATTACTACCTGGAGGTTTGCTCGATGATTTTGATGCCATGGTAGTGGTAATAGGGAAGTGGTGGCTGGAAATGGATCCCTAGGACACCTACGAGGATGCCCCAGAATGAAAGGGGAGAGAAAGGAAGATGGATTGGGTTTCTACAAGCAGGGAATTTACAAGCTATATATATTGCGCATCGGCCTGAGAAAAGAGGCACTTGACAAACAGATGTAGGTGTAGCTAAACTAGAAGGCATTCGGAGAGATTACCAAAGTGCAAAGTAGTTTGGTAGGCAATAGAATCTATAAAGCTGTAGGCTTAGTATATTAAAGCTTTGGGAATTCTTGCATTTGCATAGTATGTATGGACGCTTGAGTCTTGCATTATACCGCGATCTTGTCTTCCAATACTTGAGGTTGACCTTGACGTTGATAGAAGGACATTGTATAGTTCCCAAAACGGCTTAGCTCATGATTAACTACCTCAGGTGTCAATGCCAAGACATCTCGAGATCACAACCGTGGCCTTTTTACCAGCACCGAGGATTCAAAGACGTTGAAACACATATGTCACGTCAAATACCGTTAGACGCTTGTATGAACTGGGTGATCTCAAAAAGACAATAGACATTTTCCATAGCGCGCTCTAGCAAACTCTCCGAAATGCATCATACTTCCTAGAGCTCCATTTTGCACGGGAGCTTCGCTGGACATTTTTGAGCTCCAAAGGCTCCCAACGTAGAACTTAGACATCTCTCCGATCAATACAAATTGACACATAATACAGACTATTGGACCTTGATGTCGCCGGTTCCCTAAAGCGGCGACGATCCTCTCAGCTCCCTGATTCGCGCGATTCCGCAGTTCGAGAACTTCTCCCTTCCTCTTTGTCTATCCACGCTCATTGTCCCGCCGCCTTCTTTCTGCTCCCCGACATCTTGCGATACGGCTTGAATGTCGCGATCGCCTGTCGCGTGTATTTCTTGATAAAAGTGCTCGCGTGGTCGAAGTGGTCCCGAAGTGGGTGCAGTCACGATGGATTTGCGCACGATCATGAACACCGACGGCGGCGCCTCCAATCCTCCACCTCCAAGCAACTCGGCCAGCTCTCCCATATCCGATCAAACCCCCCAAAAGCGACCAAAGAAGGCAGCTTCTTACTCAGAATATCCTACACGTCCGCCTCAGCCTTCTCCGTTGCAACACCCGCAGCACGCTTCCCCAGAGCGAAGCTCACCTTACGCATCCGTTCAATCGCCATACCAACAATTCAACTCGGCCCCAGTGATTAATACAGCGCAGCGCAGCCAGACACCTCCGCACATCTCGACACCGTATGGTCCCGGCACGCGTGATCCATTTGGCGCGCCGGCATACGGGTCGCATCCCCAACACCCCGGTGGTTCTCTGGTCTCGCCGTACACACCGCAGCCGACGAGTGCAGGACCACAGCACCCGGAACAACAGTCTTATTTCGCCCAGCAGAGGTCTCAGCAACGCTCTCAATCACTGCAATCTGTGATGACAACATCCCGAGCTCCAGTCGAATCTTTCCGCAGCCCTCCTGTTGCGTCACAACCTCTTCCATCGCAGCACTTCTCTCCCACCGCACACCGATCTGTCCCTGGCACCCCGCTAGGCCCTCCTCCTACCTTTGCCACGCGCCAGTCGCCATCAAGTGCCCGCCCGCCGTCCTCCGGACACGATTCCCCCATCAATCCCCTATCCAGTCCGAGGCCCACACAGGAGGCCCCAATACGAGATCAGGTTCCAACGCAGTCACCTGTGACTCAACGACAGTTCTCTCCGCATAGTTCTCACCCCTCCGAGCCGACTCATCTCCCTTCGGGCGGCTCAAAGCAAGAGCCAACCGAGAGCGCCAGTCCCAAATCGATCTCCCGTCACAATAGTATCATCGCGGCCTCCGAGTCAGCGACCGCTGGTCAAATTCGTACTTCCGAAGACCGAATGATGGTTGAGAGTCCCGCTGCACAGAAGAACACCGTCGCAGGATCAGATTTCCTAACCTCCCCATTGGCACCGGGCAGTCGAATGAACAGTTCGCCCTCCGACGCTCGCGGAGGCGCCCATGCCGTGGAAATGGAAGTCGACCACCAACCCCGTGTTGATGCACAACAACCCAAGCCAAAGAGAAGGAGGTACAACGAGCCACCGATCTATGCTCGCTTGACGCCTCGCAACACAAGCAGACGCCCGATCATTCCCAATCCCCGTCCCCCAATTCCAAAACATGCGCGACAGAGCCAGCAAGATTTCTCTCTGGATACTCGCAGACGGTCTTCCTCGATAATGGCAGCCACACCCGCCGCACGGGTCACACGAGCGCCTGCTGTTGCTTCACCAAGCACAAGTATGCCTCGCGCCCAAGCTCCCCCAGCTCCGTCAGCTCCCCCACTTCGTCCGCCGAGTAATTCGCAGGCTGTAGGCTCGCTGGGCCCTTGGGAGCCATCCATTACTGGCTTCATTCCACACGAGGAGCTCACAAAAACCCTTTGTGATTTCTTGTTTCAACATGTAGTCATGAGAAACGATGTGAATGCCAGGCCAGCAGGTTCTGCTGCTGCCGGCCAGGGGACTATCATCGAGATTGAGGCGAAATTAGGCCACATCATCGACATGGACAGCAGAGACCGTATCCATCTTCCAATTTTAACCGAGAGTGTCCTCAATCGGGAGAATGCACGGATTCGGACATCTTTTGAAAGCAAGATGACTGTGGTAAGTCGTTTCCCAGCGTCCTGGCGAGAGTGCCTCAATTCCCATCAGGTTTACTTACCATGCACAGGAACAACACCGAGCTATGAATAATTTCCTTAATGAGGCTGTGAAAGCGTCCATGCCGCAGCCCAACTCGACCCGAATCCCACTTGCATACGTGCACAAGAAAGAACGTGACACCTTCTATGAGATACAAGCAGCTGATTTGCCCCCGGTGATCCGTCAAAATTTGAACCCGAGGCACAAGCCCAAAGTCCGAGTGACAACCGACGAACGAACCGGTGAAATCCTCGCGAAAATAGTCAAGTGTCGAGTTGCCGACGTGGATGTCTGCAGCCCACGGACGACGGTGGACTGGCGCGTCAGTGTCAATCTGGAAATGGAATACACAGGCGACGTCAGCAATCTCCCGGTGGTAGATGCAGCAGTCAGTAAAGGCGGACGAGGCGATCGCATCAAAGATCGCATGAGCTACCGCCACTTGGCCTACCAGGTGGACTTGACTCAAGTAGCCAAATCCGATGTAAGTTTATACAAATGTTCTGTGTCACCCTCAAAAGCAGTCTTCTGACCATATCGCAGCAACAACCGGGCAAGAATGAGTTCGAGCACGAGCTTGAAGTTGAAGTCTCGGCTGAGGAAATTCGTCGCCAGGGCCAGCTTGCTATGTCGGGCGATCCCAAGAACCAGTACGAGGACCTGGTTAAGGGCTTTGTGGATAATATCCGTCTGCTGGCTCGAGCGGTGCCGCCATGATGGTCTTTGCCGCTTTGTATTATGTATTTTTTTTTTCCGATCTAGGCTTTACTGGGGTTTCGTTTGTGGTTCACTGCAGATATGGTTTTTGATTTTATGGTAAAAAGTACGCACTACAATAGACATTGTGCATGGGTTCTATGTTTCTAGGGATCGTTACCTAGACAAGGGAATGTCCTAATTCATCATTTCTGGTCGCCTCGATTTGGCTGAATACCTGATGTTCAGATATTCTACCAAGAAAAGTAGCCAAAAGAGGCCAAGCCTGCACACCAATCTCGCGTTTTATGCCTATGCCACTATTGGATCTCCCGTAAATCTCAAAATATCTCTGCCTGTATCATGTTCATACCATCCACATCTGACCTTGCACATGTGGATATAATCCCAAAATCGAGTTAACCCCAAATAGGCAGTCGGACGCGCCATCATGAACCCGCATGATCTATCGGTGCCCCCCCGCATTGCATTAAACGGCCCGCCATTCATCTCTCCGCGCAACGCTCCAAGTACAACAGCCCAAACCCGGCATGTCGACCCGCTCACATCAAGGCTGCTGGACGTGCAAACGACGGCGACGTCGTTGCGACAACGCCCGCCCTTCGTGTCAAAATTGTGCCGAGCGCGGGGCCACGTGCGAGGGCTATGACGTTCGACTAAGATGGGGTACGGGGATTGCGTCGCGCGGTCACTTTACTGGTGCCGATAAGCCGGTTAAGAATTCTGTGCCGTCGAGGCCGAGGGGGAGACAGAGGGATCTTAGTAGGGAGAGGAGAAGGCGGGTGGAACGGGACGGGGATGCTGGTTAGTATGATCTATAAAAGCAATGCGGTTCTTCGGTATTGATCGTATGTAGCTTTGGATGGGGGTCAGAAGTTGGAGCTAGCGGTTTCGCAGAAGGTGGTTGAGGATGAGAGTCTTTTCAATGAATGTGAGTCTGCAGCAGGAAATCTTTTGAATATGTATGCTGGTTGCCACACGGTACTGATATCGAGTAGTTATGAATAACGGCATTAACGTGCTTCACTCGACAACTGCAAGAAATACCATGCTTTATCCACGTCTCCCGCAGCTTTGTCAAGAATCCAGTGCCTTGTATTCAATCTGCATTGCATTCCAACTCGCACTGTCGAGCACAGCCACTTCTCAGTTCTGCGAGTATTTCGACACAGCATTAAAGACCTTCCGATCAGAACTAGCGTGCAGCACGACCCTGTCTGATGGGACGTTGACTTCAGGGCTGCTGTTGTGTACCATTGGCGTGCGTAACATCAACTTCTTGTTTCGGTTATCCTCTGGCTTAAGGTTCTGACGCTGATTTGATCCCAGCTGATGCACGGCCTGCCCTGGACTATGCATTTAGAAGGTATGCACAATATCCTGCAGAGCCACGGGCTCGATGATTTGCATCGCCAATCTACCCCAACTCACTTTCGTATCCACCTCCTCGAGGTGATGGGGGTGCTAGACCTGGCGTGCTTTTCGGTTGGTCGCCAGGCTCCGGAGATTGGTATCTGGCGCCGGTATTGCCAGCCCGCGGCGCTCAGGTTTGGTATTGAGCCTGTTAGCGGTCTTCCTCGTACACTACTTGATATACTTGCTGGGATAGGCACAGAGACTACGGAGCAGACTCTTTGGGACTGGCCTGGCGAACCAGGGAGCTTTTTACAATGTTATCTATGGGAGGCGCATCGACTGGCTGGTATCTTGATCATCAGAAAACGAGCTAGCACGTCTGCTACTTCTACTCCCAATAACAATATCTCGGCATGGCGGCAGCCTGCCAAGTGTCCAGCAGATACATCCGTTCTCGTTACACGAATCCTCGCTAGTCTTGATGCTCTCCGTCTTGCGTCAGTTGAGCGTCCAACGGAAGATGTCTTCATCAAGAATGCAATTCTGTTTCCTATGTTTGTCGCTGGATTGGAAGTCAGTGCCCTATGTCGCAAGCCGGAATGGCAACAAACCATTAGGAAAGGGTTGCTAGGCTCTCATCAGTGTGAAATTCTCCTCAGTCTGCTCGAAGAGTTATGGCAGAAGGAAGACCCAAATCTGAGTGTGCATGAATTGGCTCGACAAAGAGGTCTGGAGATGGGGTTGATATGACTTATGGATATAATTGTAAAACTACCAAAGCTATGTGTTAATCTGACTACATCTGTGAGATACTCATTCCTTTTATATCCCATAAACGCACACTATTCCCAATCAGGAAGGCTGACGCAACAGATAAGCAACGGAGCCTTGGAAGGTTCGAAGCGATCAGAACTCTGAAGATAACCGACCTCGATCAGCCATTTCACGACCAGAACCAATTCCTCCTCGGAGATCTTTCTGTCCGCATCTTCAATGGATGTGCAACTCCCGGGTCACAAAGCACATGGCTTATCTCTCTGCCTGGATTCTCGTATCTGTGGCATCCTGGCATTGGGGTCAAAAGATCAACGTCTAGCATGTGCAGCCACTACCTGACTTCCAAAGTAGACAGGGATTTGGCTGTATATCCAGGGCTTGACCACGTCTTTTAAGGGCCGTCGAGACTATACATCCGCCAGCACGCTCCTTATATCTGGAGCATCACTTCAACCCTAGGGGCGTCTATAACTCAGGAAATGGCGGAAATCCAAGTTCTATCACCTTTTGAGGATGAGACGGACCAGCCTCCGGGCACATTCAAACTGATTCGAGGTGAGGTTCCTTTCCTCTCCTGCGTTGGGGTGTTTATTGACAACCATCCTGTCCCAGACGACGGGGCAGATGAGCACGGGCAGCACAGTGTCGTTCTCGACCCTATTCCCTCATTCGACCCCGAACGGGCCCCTAGTGAGCCAGCGCTCGATTCATATCTACTTATTGATGAGCTAATCCCAACATATATCCACGAATAGAATTGGAGCACCATGCGCAAATCAGTCAATTTCGCAATTGTCTTAGCTATGACAATAGTTATCTTCACAGCGTAAGTGCAAACTATTATCGTACATGAGCCAGACTGGTAACATTACTATCATACCAGGTTATCCATTCAAGCCATTTTTTGGCAGCAGATTACCATTGACCTGAAAGTCACCTACACCCAATTGAATAAAGCCATGTCGGTAAACTTTGTCGGTCTCACAGCTGGTTGTATTTTCTTTATTCCATTCGCGAAAAAGTACGGCCGACGGCCGGTTTATATCGTCTCAACAGCACTAATGTTGACGACGTCATTCTGGACATCCAGAATAAACAGTCTGACAGAGCTATATGTGACCAACTTGCTACAAGGTTTGGCTGGTGCTACCAACGAGTCTATAGCGGAGATAACAGTGAGCTATATCTTTGCACTGATAGTAAGGTATCCTGTCCTGTTAATGTTGTACAGATTGCCGACTTGTTCTTCGTGCATCATCGGGGAAGTATGAACGGATTATACTTGACATGTGTCGTGATCGGTGTAAGTCTTCAACCTCAGAGTTTGGAGATTTATGCGGTACCTGATGAAGCCATGTATAGAGCTTCCTGACCCCCATGGCTGCAGGGGCACAAGCCACACATCACGGCTGGCGCTCGTGCTATCAAACCATGGGGATCTCCAACGGTATCCTTTTTGTCATTTTCCTCTTCATCTACGAGGAAACTAAATACGTCCCTGTGTTCACTGGGCAAGCCCACGCCACAGTTGAAGAAGACAACCCACCCATCTTAATCAAGGAAGATGGTCCGGAAATTTTTGACTCGGGGTGTTCTGCCAATTGCTCTTCATCTGTCATTGAACGGGCCCATTCTCATCATGTACTGGACCTCACTATACCGCAGAACCCGTGGCGCAAGCGACTTGCCCTGGCAACGCCAACACCAGAACCAATCTGGCCGCATTTCTACCGCCCCTTCTGCGTGCTTATCCTTCCCGCTGTGGCATTTGCCGCGGTTCAATATGCAGCTGGACTAGCCTGGTTAACAGTAACTTCGAACGTGCTGTCACTCACACTCCCAGAGCCGCCATATCTCTTCTCCCCTGCCCAAATCGGATACACTAGCGCTGGTCCACTGATTGGGAACATTATCGGTACAGTATACGGGGGCTTCATCGGTGATCGGTCGATCTTGTACTACGCAAAACGAAACAGGGGCTATTATGAACCCGAAATGCGGTTGTACATCTTACACCTTCCGGCCATTTTCATGGCAGGTGGCCTTATCATGTTCGGGGCAACGATTTCTCGGGTAAGGCAACAACATTCACAGTCAAAAATTGAGGGTCTGTCGATAACTGAGTGCTAACATGTTGTCATGTGGACTGTAGGGAATGCACTGGATCTGGCCGAATGTCGCAGGTTCCTTTTTCGGGTTTGGCCTGGGCAGTATTAGTGATGCTGCATTGGTGTTAGTCACGGACAGTTACAGAGAGGTATGATTGGTTGCTGTCCTACCTCTCTCGTTTCGAGATACATGATATATCCTACATGATACATACTTCCTCTATTTCGAGTAGTCGTTTGTACTCACATCCATCTCTAGATTACCGGTGATGCGTTCACCGCTGTGGCGTTCATGCGTAACGCGGTCGGTATCGCTGTTCCATTCGTGATCTCTCCATGGATCCAGCGCAGTGGCATACAGAATATGTTCATCACGTGTGGGATGTTGAGCCTAGCCATTACTGGGACGATTGTCCCAATGGTCTTTTGGGGAAAGTCTGCTAGGCGCGCATTGGCAGGTCGCTATCGCGATATCGCGGAGCATGGTCATGCTATGTGACAGGCTGCTTCGTTACATGTTTCATGGCCTGAATATTGGCAGCATGTCTCTTTAGCAATGAGGACTTCCTACTGGAGGTTGGTGGAATTTGGCTGCCTTGGTTAGGGTTGTGCGGTTTGGGTGCCGGGTGATATGGCTATGCCGGGGATTTATTTCGAATCAGGTATGTTGACGGTTAGAGCTTTCATTGGATACTTTGAATGATATGGATTCGGTACCATTTCATGAGCCGGATTGTAGGGCTTTCCGAAGGAATTACCGAAGTTGTACAAGATGATACCGTAGCTTTGGGATTCTTTGATAAGGTACATGATACGGGATACAAGGCACTTCCCTTCGCCAATGATCGTTAGCAATGGGTTTCACATTGCTTGTTAAGCCTTGAGAGAACATGGAAGCCTGATCTAAAGGAGATAGCCGGAAAACTCTAACCCTAACTCATGCACGACAGAACTACAAACATAATTGCAAGATTCCATCAAAACAGATGTTTTCTTTTGCTCAACTGTCAAAGATGATAGACTAAGAAAAGGAGTACCGCGCTGTCAGACAAGACAAAATATTGAAAAAGAAATTGCAAATCTAATATGCAAAAACCCCAAGGAGCAATCTAAAGATTTGCCCTGTGCACGTCATCACCGACCTCTTTCGGCAACACCGTCTCAGCAAACCTCTCCTCTGACACCAGCAATTGCTCAGGGAACCAGGAAAGATCCGCACTGACAGTCTCATTAAGCGAGGCATCCCGCGCGAGCAACATAGTCGCCATCGCCTTACCACCAAGCCAAGCCTGAACCATTCCATCCCCACCGAAACGCAGCACAAACCCACTCAGCTCCTTCAGACCCATGCTCAGACCGACCTGTCACAGCTCCAGGCAACCGCCCTATCCAGGGGAACCCGTCCGAGCTGAACGCCATATTACCAGTCCACATCGCCTGCACTGGGTCGCCTTGCACGCAGCCCCAGTCTTTGGCTCCGAAGATGGCACGCAGAGCCCCAGACAAATGGATATCAATGTAAAGACTAAGATCAGAGTCTGTCGAGACACCCAGGTCCGCTAGACCACCGCCTTCGCCCTGGGCAAAGCCCCCGCCGAGCATCATCTGCCCGCCCGGCAGCTGGGTCATATAGTCGAACCCGCGGTCGTAGTTGAAGAGCCAGGAATGATGCGCTGCTTGGTTGGGGAACTTGTCGCCGGGAGTTTGTGCTGACATCTGTCCGCGCACGGGGAAGATTCGGCCCCGGAAGCCGGGTACCAGATGGCTGACATGGGCATTGGTGCAGTGGATAACGTGTCGGGTGGTGATAGTGCCTCTGCTTGTTTCGACCTTGTATCTTGGGCCGTTGGAGGCAGTGTCGTCGTGGATAGCGGTCACGGCGGTATTTTCCTCAACCCGGAAGTCATCCGGGAAGTCTGCAAGGAGACGTTTGAGGACGCCGGTGACGAATTTGTAAGGCCAAAGGGCGCCTGCAGGGCCGGATATGACGCCACGGGCACGCGTCAAACGGAACTCCTAGAAAGAATTAGAATCGGTGTTTTGGTGGTAACGATAGGATATCACCGTACCTCGGGATAGCATCTCCTTCATAAGATGTCCATTCAGCAGCTTCCTTCGGCATCCCCTCCTTGAAACGGTGCATCCGCTCCAACGCCGCCTTCCATGGCTCATCGCCGAAGTAAACGCTCAGGAACTTTATCTTGCGTGCTTGCGTCTCTGTAGTGATGCCAAGCTCCTCTGCGACAGCGAGCATCTCCTTCAGATGTGCCAATCGGAAGCGGATAAGCTTACGCGCGGCGTCCACGCCAAAGATATCGGCGAACTCGGCGTAGTCGTCGGCTGTCTCCAGGATGTGACCGCCATTGCGGCCGGTTGCACCGCTGCAGACTGTGCGAGCCTCAAGCATGACTACGGATGGATGGGAGGTAGAAGAGGGCTTTGAAGCGCGGTTCTGGAGCAAGGTCCGTGCAATAGCTGCTCCGGTAATACCAGAGCCAATGATAACAACATCGGCTTCTTTGGGCAGAGGCTTTGCAGCTTCCTGGCTGAACTTGTGTGGTCCCAGGGTCCAGAACGACGAGGTCGTCGAACTCTGGGGGACGCCGGGGTCAGAGTGGATGCGATCGAGAGCTTGCTGTCTAGCAGAGGCTGAGACTGAAGGGTCAGTTAGGATGTCTGTAGCAAAGGGCATTGTTGCGAAAGATCAGAGCCACAGGCCAGGGTAGAATGTTGGTTTGATTGAAAAGAAGTCAAAGAAGGGAGGTGTGTGGTGGAGTATAAGTAGCAAGGGGCAAGAGTAGTAGATGACAAAACACTTTGAGTCTTACTCAAGATCCTGTAGATACGTGAGAGGAGAAAAAGAAAATAAAAACACGAGGCCGAAATAGTCAGGCGCAATATCAGATCTCAAATCAGAAGTGGCCTGTTGGACTTACCTACCCCGGTACCTATAACAAGTTCCAAGGTTGACTACAACAATAATGCAATTATGCAATTACGCACTCCGATAATGAGCTAATCTCATTCGAAGGTTTTCATTTCCGTGGATACCACCTGGACACCTGCATATGCCCCATATGATAGAGTTCAAGATAACGTACCGGTGGGTCTACCTTCCCGTTTGAGATTTTGAGATTTAGAGATTGCGGGGATTTTTAGAACGCACCTGGCCATAAGGATCATGGACATTATGAGTTATCATTAGGATAAACTGCCTAGGTCTTTGCTGTTTCTTCGTCTAATTCTCAATATGTAGGCAAACTAGGCAACGGTAGTGAAAGGAGCACACGTGAAGAATCCCTGTTCTTTTTCTTGTTCATGTGCTCGATTATTCCAAGCAGCTTATCATCTCACTGCCTCACCCTCCATTATCTAAATATCTAAATGCCCTACACCGTCTGTACATCCGATAGTCCCCACTCTACATTTGCGCCAATTTCCAGGAACAAGGTATGCCAAGCCCATCAAAAATGACTCTAGCATTGTTTCGGCCAGCAACGGGGTCTTAGGAAATGGTGGGGTTCTTCTAGTATTTTGCATTGGGGCTAGGCCTGGTCTGTACAACCAGTTGAATGTGTTTATGTGCCTCGACGTTGTCTGCTATGAGTGGGAGGTGATCTAGATCGATATGGACTATCTGACCAGTTTCCATGGGGTAACAAGTTCAAAGATGTGGTAACCGGATCAATATAATCGATAAACTAAAGTTGAGGTTGGAGAAGGGCTGGATAACCACGGCAGACAGAGGGGTTGCATTTGCCGGTTAACTAGTTGGCTGGAAGTTACTATAGCCGCCATTCACACCAGGTCCTTATTTTTCCAGTATGTTGTATATGACAGGGGTACCCTGCAAGGTCAAAAGTAATGAAATTGAAGTGGCGTTAGTATCCAACTACGTTTCACTCCACTCTACACCCCGAGTGCTATCGCGGATTCCTTCCGACTCCAAGCTATCCCAAAACGGCAGGTCGACACACACTTGATCAACAAACCAAGTGGGGAGTCAAGACAAGTGGGCAAAGTGGAGGTTTCCACGTGTTCTAGTGGGCAAGTGCTATGCCGAGCAAGAAAAGTATATAAATTTTACATAAAAAGGAAGACGGTCACCAACATGAAATCACATTTATCCCATCCCCAAATGGCATCCGAAGCACCCCCGAGCAACTGGCAAGACCTCGTTGCTGCCAAACACCATGAATGCGAGCAGAAGATCCCCCGAGACTGGCTTCTGAGCGCAGACCAACTGGCGCTCGCACAGGAAACCCCGCGTCTGCTAGATGTTGATATTCCTCGTCACAGTGGTCTACTCTCTGAGGTCGAATTGGACCTGACGGAAAACCATACCGCAAATCAGTTATTGGTTAAGTTGACGTCGGGGCAGGTCAGTTCACTGGCTGTTACAACGGCGTTTTGTAAAAGGGCTGCTATTGCGCAGCAGGTTGTGAGTACAACATATCCCTGATAGCATAAAGGACCAATCATCTTAACACATGTTTTGTACAGATCTCATGTCTCACGGAGACCTTCTTTCCCCAGGCATTGGAGCGTGCTAAATACTTGGATGAGTACCTCCAGCGGGAGGGAAAGCCCATTGGCCCCCTCCATGGTCTACCGATCAGCATAAAAGACAGCTTCTGTGTCGAGGGTGTGCAAACAACAATAGGATATGTCGCATTTCTCGAGAACGAACCCGCGAAGACGAACTCAGCACTAGTGAATATGCTACTACAGCTTGGCGCCGTGTTATACGTGAAGACCAACATCCCACAGACAATGATGGTAAAAATACCAAATGGCTCGTGGATATGCTCAGAACGTGAAGCTAACAACCACCAGACAGCAGACTCGGAGAATAACATCTTCGGCCGCACCCGCAATCCACACAAGACAACCCTAACAGCGGGCGGATCCAGCGGCGGCGAGGGCGCACTAGTAGCATTCCGCGGATCGATCTTGGGCGTGGGGACCGACATCGCCGGCTCGATTCGCATCCCCGCGCTATGCTGCGGCGTGTACGGCTTCAAGCCAACAAGCAACCGTATCCCCTTCGGCGGACAGGTCTCCGGTGCCGATGAGGGGATCCCAAACCTTGTTCCAACAGCTGGTCCGCTGGCACATAGTATCGCCGATCTCAAGCTGCTGATGAGTTCTGTCGTCGCCGACGGCCAGGCGTGGAAGTATGACTCTGGTGCCGTCGCGGTCCCGTGGCAAACTATCCCGTCAGGTAGCGACGCCAGCGCAAGCTTGACTATCGGCGTGCTTGCTGAAGATGAGCATTTCCCGCTCCACCCGCCTGTAAAGAGGGCTCTAGATCGGGCCGTTGACGCGTTGACGCGAGCAGGACATCGTATTGTCCACGTCAATGGTGACGATGAAGCACGGAGTGTGGCATATGCGTCGCGTCTTGCCTTCCAGTATTTTGTCTATGGTCCGCACAAGGATCATCTTGCGGCTAGTGGCGAGCCCGCTGTGACTTCAGTTGCTAAGGCTGCAAAGCCGATGTTCTCTGGCCCGTACCCTGTCCAGCAAGGTTTAGGAGCATTTGAGACCATCCAGGCGTTGCATGTGGCCCGCCAGCGGGTTCATGATGTCTGGAGGCAGACATGGGTGGATCAGAAGCTTGATGTGATTCTGGCTCCTGGGGCTCAGAATACAGCCGTGGGCCATGATACATACGGATGGCCTCCTTACACTGTGATATGGAACGTGTTGGATGTAAGTATCTTTATGACTCGTTCTGCTGTTTTCGCCTTGGCTCTTTGGCGCATAGACTAACTTCTGCCAATCCAGTATCCCGCATGCATTATTCCATTTGGAAGAGCGTCCAAAGAGCTCGACCCCGAGCCTATGGCAACAGGTGATGATACGCAGCCGGACTGTCAGTGAGCCTATCTCTTGTATCGAATAGATTGCTAACAGATACCAGATCACCCCGATGAGGTGGACGGCGCCCCATGTGCTATCCAGATCATCACGCCACGCTTCCAAGATGAGAAGTGCCTGTGGGCGGCAGATATCATTGACCGGGCATTGGCCGTTTATGACAAGGATTATTATTAATAATGGGATGCTGGTATGTGTCCACGCCGAAGGTTGGCCGGATCGCTACGCTCAGGGTATTCAGGTATGCCTTTCAAGATCATACATGTTCAGTGACTAGGAAATATTATTTGACGCCGTATGCTGTTTTGCAAGAAAGTAAATTCAAAAGGTAGAATACATATGTGAAACCGGTCCTATCCCGTTTGATATCTTAAAGGTGTGCGAAAGGACAAGCTTTTGGGGCTTGAAAGAGAAACAGAACAAAGAACTATGGACTCGGGCTATCATCGTACCGTGGTCCGCCGTCATTACCACCATACCCAGCACCAGGCGTAGCAGCCATTCCACCCATCGCCGGAGTTGGCGCATCGAACGCCGCAGGGGTTGGAGCGCCACCGGGAGTGGGCGCACTGAAAGCTCCACCAGGGGTGGGCGCACTTTCGGGCCACCCGCCAGGAGTTGGTGCACCAGGGGTCGGAGCAGCGTATGCGCCGGGTGTGGGGGCGGAATAGTTTCCACCAGGAGTCGGGGCATCGTCGAAATCACGCTGGTCTCTGCCGGCAGACATGCTGTTCCAGCCGGGAGTGCGACTGCCTGTGTTTGCACCCGCGTTCCAGCCGGGAGTACGGGATCCAGAGGCGAAGGCGTCGAAACCGGAGCTTGAGTCGTATGGTGTCTTGGATCCTGAGGTCCAGGACGGGGTTCGGCTGCCAACTCCTCCATATGCGGTACGGTTTCCGTCGTAAGGGTTTGCGGTACGGGAGCCGTCGTTCTTCCAGGCCGGTGTGCGGCTGCCACTCAAGCCACCCCAAGCAGGAGCTATGTTATGATTAGCATTTTCGTCAACTTCATAAGACGGGTGTACTTACTTCTCGCAGAAGCGCTGTTCCAAGCGGGGGTTCTGGACGAATCGGCGGCGGCGATCGGTGTTCTGCCACCGGCCCACCCATCTCTCCCAGGACCGCCTGAAGTGTATGGAGTTCGCCCTCCAGGGCCACCTCCTCCTCGTCCACGGCCCATGGAGAGGGGCTGTTTGGAAACAGGACTACGGAAAAGTTAGAAAGGCTGTGCATCGAACACAGTAGGGGAAGAACATACTCTTTAGGTGTCAGAATGTCACGCGGAATGTGTACGGGCTTGTTAGATGTGTAGAGTTCAACTTGAGCGGAGCTATCGTCGGCGTCGCGAACAATACCGACGAGACCCTTATAACGACCCTTGCGGATAGTCACAGTCTTTCCGATAAGGTGATCGCGGCCACGACGAGGAGGTGGCATTGCAGCACCACCTCCAGGAGTTTGCATCGCCAGGGCAGGGTTCATCTTGGTGAGATCGGGTCCAGTGGGCCGACCACCTCTTGCTGACACGGTAACGACATTCGTTGTCCGCACCACAGAGATACCCGCGTTCTCGGCTTGGGCCTTATTATGCAAGAAAAGGAACGAACGGTGGATATGGCGGATTACTCCACTGCGCTGCTCTCCGTAGACCTCGCGAACGGTATCACCACTTCGAATCTCTGCCCCATTGCGATCAGTAGCCACGGCATCGCGACGGGGGGTAATCTTGTTTGCGATTTGTGTAGGAAGAATGTTGCGGATAGAACCATTCTGGTCCACCACACGCAGGGACTCCCGGTCCACTTTAATGACGCAAGCAACAGTGGCAGCATCAAGCTGGACGAGATCATGAACATCATAGATGCCGAGTTGTCCATCAGCAGCCATCTCAGCAGAAAGTCGAAGATCCTTGCTGAAAATTGTGATCTCCTGCATACTCATATCACTGAGCAGAGTGACGGTGTCATCCTTAACCTGCACGACCATGCCCAGTTCGTTCTGGTATCGACTGCCGCCGATAACCTTGACGTGATCACCTTCCCTAAATCGTTTACGGAGAGTCCGAACAGGCGCGTCAATTGTCTGACCGGCGAGCTCGCCCTCGGTGACTTGCAATGAAACAATGTCACCTCGAGTTGACACTGTGCGACCAATAAGACCCTGCTGTTCACCCCGGTAAACCTCCACTGGATCACCCGGTTGGTATGACTCTTCAGCGGTGGAGTTCTTCAGGGTCTCGGCCAGCGATGCTAGATCCAAATTGGCAGTTCCATCTTCTCCTCCACGCGCAAACATTGTAACCTCCTCTAGCCGGGGGTTAACATTTTTGGCATTCAAGTGCTGGACACGCATGTCCTTGATGAGGAACCCATCCACGTAGTTCTCGTTCAAGTAGTTCCATGATTTTCCGCCTAGACCAGAAGTAGACGAGAGATATTTTGCGTGCTTCTTTTTCGCCTCTGTCTCACTGAACAAGCGCTGGGGAGGGCGGACGGTGTTCACAGCACCGCGTTTGCGCTTAGCATCGGCAGCAGGGGCACCAAAAGCATCGTCATTCAGGCCATAGTCCAGTCGAGGAACAAGTCTCACAGTGACATTCAATCCATTGGTTTCGACCTCCTCAATCTGGGCCAAATCGCCCATGTACTTGCCACGCTTGATGCGAATCCAGCCACCGGGCAAGAGCTCTTCCGATTTATGGACGCGAAGAAGATCAGGCATCTCCTTCACTGGAACAAGTGTCAGCTTCTGGGATGGGTAGTAGAAGTTGATGCCGTCCAAGCCTTCCGTAACATCGGCCTGCCTGCGCGCTTCACAGTAGAACCAGCCCTGCATAATGTTTCCGCGCTCAAAAGCCGAGATAATTCGAATGGGGTTGCGGGACCCTGGTGGACGCTCTTCGATCCGCTTCTGGATGGAATATACGACCTCCTTCTCCTTGCCAGGCTTGCAGCGTCCACCCCAAATGCTGGGGTCTTCCACACTAGGAAGCAGGAGTCGCTTCGGGATTACAAGGGAATCTGTTGCGGCAGCACGGTTGCGTCCATATCGTTCCTTGAGCATCTGGGCTTGCTTCTCTGCGTCCATGCTGGCGTCGATCTCGCGCTGGCGATCCAGCTGTCGATGGCGGCGGTCGTCTGTTTCGGTGCCTTGTGGTAGCGCATCGAGATCATCCGGGTGTGTTTCCATGCCATATTCGGCGAGCTCATCTTCCTCATCCTCGGCCTCGTCCTCCTCCTCATCGACACCAGCCTCGTCTTCGATGAAAGGATTGGCAACGCGCTTCACTCGCTTTTGTGGACGAGCCTAAAAGAGAAACCATGCGTTAACAAATATGCATTACCAGGTCCCACGGAGAACGTACCACATCCTCTTCCTCGTCTTCGTCCTCTTCCTCCTCGTCCTCCTCGTCTTCGTCCACTTCATTCTCAATCTCTTCGTCATCTTCGACATCCTTGGCGTCATCCTCCTCATTTGCATCTGTTTCGCGAGGGTACTTCACATCATCCTCCTCATCAGCGCCATCGCCACCTGAGTGTTCTTTCTTGGTTGGCTGTTTCACGCTCCTTTGTTAGCGTTTGTTCATCGAGGCTTGACAGGAGTCTCTAGACCGACCTTAGCTCTGGGCTCCTCGGCATCAGACTCTTCTTGGGGAGCAGGGTTGAAATCTTCCTCGTCGTCCTCGGACCCGAAGTCTTGGTTAAGAAAGTTTGACATTTTGACAGGTAGTGTCTTAACGCGCTATTGCAAATGATCTGGTCGCGCAACGTTCGGCACGTCGTAGTTTGGAGTTAAGATATAGTGAGATCTCTATCAATCGCAAGGAGAATCAGCAACTGGAAAGACAAAGATAAATGCGAGAAGCAAGACGAACCGTATCCAAGGAAACCGCGCTACAACTTGCGAGTTGGGGGACAAGGCGTAGATAACAGGATGCGAACTGTCCGGGTATTTTCCGATGAATGACCAGTTCCAAGCAGCGTCAGGTCAAATGAAGCTGATCCAGACGGCAGAAAGGTGAATGGAAAGTTAAAGAGGGAGCACAGTAGACAGTCGAGCTCTGCGGGCAATCACCGAGTTCCGCGACCGCCTACAAAGAACACGGACCGGAAGAGATCTCGGAGTTTGTTAGAAGATGAAGTAACAACACCACAACGCAGGCGCAAATTATAGCTCTGCTAAGGGATAATTTGAGAAAGGACAAATGAGAATTGAAGTGTCGGAGGAGGTCGAGTTGCCCAGAGGCATAATCCTTGCGTGAGTGGTCGTTGTGGCGCGCCGTACTTGGCCTCCGAGCCTGGCGTTTCTCAACTTCCTCTTTGCCTTCGAGCTAAAGAGCAGAGAGAACATACATCAATCCCCTTTGAGAATTATCAAAGGAACCTAAATACAAGTCTTGTCAGACATACAAGCTCATGTAGGTTTACTTGAGAATCAGGACAAACTACAATGTCCTTACCATTATACTAATGCGAAGGACTGCCCCGATCCAATATCAGTAAGATGAGGACTCAATTCCTTGGACAAACATGAAGAGACGAACCGAGCGAAGTTTGCAAACAACCTCAGAGAAAGAAAAAGAAACGCCATAAACGATCATATATACATCAAAAACAGCCGGGTCAGTGATCAAAATCAGTCGTTGTACTGCTTGGCTTCGAGTATACCCCCAGGATATTTGATACCTTGACCCTCTTCGACCTACTCAGAATCATCCCAGACATTCCAACTTAAATCTTTCACAAGGAAGTTCATCTTTACAATCGTACAGTACTGAATGAGCCAATGTCGCTGTTCAGACTGGCCCCAGGTATCCCAAAAAGGTTCCAGTCTGTTATTCAGCGCTTTAGTTTTGGCTGAAGTGAGGGAGCGCAGTTGACCCATTCGCTGAGCTCTTGCACGGCTTGGCTCCTTCTGATCTTCCAACCTTTGGTGCATGTCACGATACTTCTTGATAATCAACCAATACAAACCCTTGATCATAGAAACATCCCAGTAGAACTGCGGGTCCACATGACGCAAAAGCTTCTTGAAAATGATGTCGCAATGTGGCCGTAGGTTGTGAGCTGCTACTTGTAACGCATAAGCAGCTGCGCTCTCCTCGGGCTCGGTGTCTTGGGAATTTCGGACCCGACCCGCCATCGGATCAGAGTGTTGGCAAAACCAATCAATACCAGCCGGCTCGGCTCCTCTTGCGCCAGCTACCAAAGCAGTCTCACCGGAGTCTCGGTCGAAGTCGGTCCGGCAGCCTGGCTGGGTAAACGAGTGGCCCAAGAGCCAGTCAAGGATTCGTGGACCTTCGGGATTCTCGATTGCTCGGTGCCAGATGGTTCGGGAGGTGGGGTTGAGTTCGATGGGATTGATTCCAACACCATCATATCGAATCGATTTTGGGTCGAGTTTGTCATTGTCGGGGTCGAAGTCTTCGCCTCGGATGATCGGATCACCGTACTCTGCATCGCGGTTCCATTCCTCGCCGGACTCGTACCCGGGGTCATCCTCGTTGGGCAGATACGTTGGGAGTGTATTTCTGGGGAGCTCGGTGATATTGAACCCTTTCGACAGGAGCAGTTCGGCCATTTCGGCAGTGATGAAGCTGCACAGCTCAAGCTTGAGGCCATCATCGTTCCACACAGATAGAGGGTAACCGGTATCCTCTAGAAGCTCAACGACTCCCCTAAAGACATCATTGTCGTGCATCAAAGCGACATGGTGGGGAATAGACATGCCATCGATAGACGTGGGAAAGTGCCGAGGATCCAGGCCTCCTTTCAGCAAGATAGCGACAATGAAGAGTACGCTTTCGGGATCTCCGCCCTCAATAGCTGCATGGAGGAAACTCCTGCCGTTTTGGTCGTAGTTCCTGAAATCGACCAACCCGAGATTGCCGAGAAGTGAGAGGCAGCTTGTACATTGGCATTCTTTCACGAATTCATACGCATAGTTAAACCCAGCACCACCTCGGCTAGCCCTGTAAGCCGCAATCTCATCTCTGCATTGGTACGCGGGTTTGAAGCTGTAGTAGTTCATCCATGGCTTGAAAACCTGTTCAAGTGTGCTCAGAGCCGGTTCCGATCTCAACCATGTTTCCACCTGATCCCGGTGCATTGGCGATGCTTCAGCAAATTCGTGCAGAGCATGAAGGTCCTCGGGGGTCGGAAGCTTTGTATCAACATGCAGCAGCATAGGCAGAACCAGACCCAGCAAATTCTCAGGCATGGTCGTAAGATCCATGGAATAGGCTATGTCCCGCAAGAAATTGTAGCTAACGTCATCCGTATCATTTGAGCTGAGACTTGACAGGAGATCGATTGGAGCAGTCCCAGAGCCGGCGAAATCGTCCTCGTTGTCTCGGAATTCGCGCATTCGTCGAGCCACCATATTGGCAAGTACGAGTGATGTGGCGGAATGCTCATCAGATACAAATTGAATCATTCCACCAACATCGCATGCAAGGTCGTCGTCGATTTCAAACGATTGTAGAGACAACATCGTGAATGGTTGCCAGATAATCTTCAAGGCAAGGTGTGGACATAAATGACTTGCCTCGATATCCTAAATAGGCAGACGGGAAAGTCTCAAAATTATATTTCACATCGAGTCCCCGGCTTCGGACTCAAAAGGAAGCCAGCACTGCTTTTGCCTAATAATAGATCCATCTCAAAGAACTCTGAAGGCAATGGTAACGGTTCTCAGGGTTTTCCTGATGGCGGCTCGAATCCCCTCAAAGAAAGTGAGAATAAAGGAGTGAGATTGAAAGATGTCCGGTGCTGAACGTGGAAACTTAGGCCCTCAAGCATAGTTGGCTCGTCTGAACAAAGAAGGGACTTCAAGATTCTGCTAAACCGTCCTTTGATGGATTCTTTGAATCGTGCTTTTCGTTGTAGTTATGGTTTTTCAAATGTTCCTACCAACGCAATGGCCAGCTAATACGGCAAACTATGGAGACACCGAGAGTTTAGTTATGAATCAGAATGAGTTGTATGCAGCGAATACCCAAAAAGGCGGCGATGTCCACCGTGAATCGTGAAATATACAAAAAGGCCAATGTAATGTTATCGTACAAGGCAGATCGTAGCAAAAAAAAAGAAAACAAGAAATGTCGTCACAGACGAGAGGATATCTAGCCAAAAGCAGCAAAAGAAAATGAATCAAAATGGGTATGGTCTACCGGCAGTCGAAAACACCCAAAAAAATGCTTTATAGCTTCATGCCAAACATGCCGTGGACACGCAAACTCTGGCGCATACTCAGATCAAGCATAATCTCCTCACTGCCACCGGGAATGGCATAGGCACGCACATCACGGTACAGTCTCTCGATCTTACCGCCCTGGCCGCCGCGACTGTAACTCAAACCACCGAAGATCTGACTAGCCTCGCGAGCGCAGAACTCAAAGCATTGCGTAGACTGCGCCTTCAATCCAGCGATGGCACCGCCGAGCTTCAGCATAGCCTCGGTATCCTCCATGGACTGGCACTGGAAGATGATGTTCTCGAGCCAGTTGTAGGTGGCCTCGATCTGGCGTGCCATATGGGCGAGTTTCATGCGAATAACAGGGTGGTCAATGAGACGCTTGCCGAAGGTCTTGCGCTTGTGCGCGTATTTCATAGACTCCTCGTAGCAGACACGCGAGAAGCGCACGCACTGAATCACGATGCCGATGCGCTCGTGGTTGAAGTTGGTCATGATAACCTTGAAGCCCTGGTTTTCCTTGCCGATCAGGTTCTCCACAGGCACCTTGACATCCTCAAAGGTGACGTAGGTCGTGCCGCTGGACCACACACCCTGGCAGTCCATGCGGCGGGTGCTGACGCCGCCGGCTTCGCGCTCGATGAGCAGCACGCTGAGACCGTTCATGCCGTCCTTGCCGGTGCGCACAGCGGTCGTGAAGTAATCGGAGTAAATACCGTTGGTGATCCACTTCTTCTCGCCATTGACGATGTAATGCTTGCCGTCCTCGGTGAGCTTAGCCTCACAACCCAAGTTTGCGACGTCACTACCCGCATCGGGCTCGGTAATGGCGAGGCAGATACGCTTGTCGCCGGCCAAGATACCCGGCAGGATTCGGTCGACCAGCGGCTTCTTGCCGAACTTGACCAATGGCGGACAACCAATTCCGTAGCCACCAATCAAGCTCCACACCAGACCACCGCTGCCGGCACGCGACAGCTCGTCGGTCAGCAACATCTCGTGGAACAAATCCCATCGGTCTGGTGACACAGACTTCACGCGGTGCGGGGTGTGCTTCTCGGGGAAGTGGACACCCAGCAGTCCGGCTAGGTAGCCTCGCTCTCCCATCTGTTTGTAAATGTGAGCGGGCACTTCCTTGGCCTCGTCCCATTCGGTCACATATGGCTCGATCTCGGACTCGACCCATTGGCGAACCTCGTCTCGCAGTGCGGCGTGGGATTCATTAAAGTAGGGGGATGCATACTATGAGCGACATATAGATTAGCTTCTGTGCAACCATAAATTCCGCAGATCTGTGGCAGATAACAAAAGCAAAAGCTTATCAAAACTTACACCTTGGTACCATGAGGGATCGGCGAAGGGGATCAACTCTCCATAAGGGTCTTGGGGCGCTCCGGTGGCAGGCGGTGTCACGGAAGACGAAGACGCGGTGGACTTCGGCTCGGGGGCAGCCGTTTTCGGGGCTGGCGCTGGGGCAGGTCGCGCCGGTGCCGCCTTCTTCGTATCCAACGAACCGATCTGCAGCTGACCCTTGTACTTCTTCAAAATGCCCTCGTTGTGGTACTTCCAGAACTGTTTTGAAGCGTCCTTTCCGGCAACTCGCTGGAGAACTAGACACAATCTGTTAATATGGATTTATCGAGCGTAACGGATGCTCTCGGGTCAACGTACTCTTCTTTCCACCTGTTCAAAAAAAGTGTTAACATGTGATTCCCATGCTTATCTGCACGCGTGACTTGACTTACCAGGGTGCTCATCTTGGAACTTGGAAACATCGTAGACATCTTCGTCAATGATGATCCAGGGACTGTCACCCTTGCTATGGGAGGCGACGTCCTCTTTGCTAAATGTCTTTGCCATGGTGGCGATGGGTGAGAAGGCTGAGGGATGACGGGGAAAAGGCGTACAACAAAATTTATATTGAGGTCAAGGAATAGTTGGGAGAAAGAAGAAAATTTCAAGTCCGGGGAAGCTGGGGAATATATGTATGGGGCAAGAAACAATTTCCGCTAAGTTCGGGCGATATTCCAAGTCTGGACATGAAGATGCACCAAAAGGGGCCTCGGAGCATGATACCAGTTCACATGCTCCCACAGAAGGCAGACCTTGGGACCTTACGTTGTAGCAGTCATTGGTTGTTGATCATTTCGGTCATCGCCGTTGACAGACAGTTTATTGGCTCGTGCTGCGTCATAATGGAAATGCCGAGGCATAACAGCCCTCCAGGGCTGCCCTGCCCAGTGTCCAGGTGCAGTGGATTGCTGAGTCAGCAACGGCGTCGGCCCCGTGGCATGTGAACATGTGAAGATGAGTATCGGCCGGTTTGCAATTGGATTATTCCATGTCGCTATGATTCTATATATCTCGATACAGCTATATATACTCAATGTAACACTTATATATACAATAATAGGTACTTTGTACAATTAAGTCTGGTTCGTGGTTTCGTACTGGATATGTACCTCTGGCATGTGCAAGTTCTACTCCCGAAACCCTTGTAAGCCGGCCTAACCGGTATGTTCAAATCATGGCGACCCTGCTGTGGTCCTTCTGATCGAGTGTATAGAGTACGACAAGAATGTAGGGGGAATTTAAAAGTAACATAGGAATTTCCATATCAATCACAGGTGACGGAAAGCTATACTAGCCCTCCAAATAGATCACGTCGGCGTAGACAGCCTGATTAGTCTAGTAATACATCCAGCATCAAGATTCTATGCCGCAACAACACTCTACTGCTCTTCACCATCTGACTCGTACGAGAACTCGTCGGGGACAGGTGCGTCCTCCACGCCTTCTTCGTCCTCATCCACAGCCGTCAGAACACCGGCACCAGCCGCAGCACCTGAGGTAGCAGCGGATAGAGCAGCCCGAGCATCGGCCCGTTGAGGAGTCTGCAAAGCAGCGGTTCCGATGGCAGCCTGCAGGCGGTCTTGGAGGGTCTCGGTCGCAGGAGGTGCTTGGCGAGCCTCTTTGCTAGCCTTCAATTCGATTACCTCGCGAGGCTCGTCGGGCTGCTTGTCCAGAACAACGACAACACCGCCAGTGGGCTGCAATTTTGTTAGCATTGAATTCATGGGACGAACAGAAATGAACATACCCTCTTAACCGGCTCGTACCGGGGGTCGGGGAAAGTGAGGAACTTGAGCTGGGCTGGAAGTACCCTTGACAGGTTGTCCAGCTCGTACCCGACCTTCTCACGCTCTGCTTTCTTCTTCTGTACCTCTGCAGAACCCTTCTCTGTCTCCTTGCCTTCTTCTCCCTCCTCCTTAGGAGCTTCATCTGTCTCCATTACGTCCAGCTGATCAGCAGCCTTGGGTGTGGTAGGCGCTTGGTCAATATCCATGCTCTCACGGCGTGCTTGCTTCTCCCGACGCTGCGCGCGACGCTTTGCCTGGGCAGTGGTAGAAAGAACAGCAGTCTTCACCTTCTCTGGGGCCTCCTCGGCCTTCACTTGTTGTTCAGGGGGGTAGTCAAAGAGACTAGGGCGGGTGTTGCTGTGGAACTTGAAGTGTGGGACTTCGAGCTTCTGGTCGACACCGATCACGGATGTTGGGGTGAAGCTGAGTGACAAGAAGTGTGTGAGAGGGAACCAGTACCAGTACTGTACGAAGACCGCAACACCAACGATACCGGGCATGTTGAGGTTACCCGTCTGCGTCTGCAAGCTGATAGTGCAGTTCCGGCCACCAGCATCAATGATACCGAGAGCAATGGCACAACCGAACTTAGCCATAGCGTCCTCGTGACGGTCACCAAGCATCTTCATCATGGCCTTGCGCAGGCTGGTAACACGGGGGTTCATGGCCTCGTTCTGCTGGACGAGAACCATGGCAAGAGAGATCAAAGCACCCTGACGAACAAAGTCGGTGGAGTCCTTAAGCATAGGCTCGAGGAGGTCGATGGCTTCGTCCAAGCCGGTACCGGCGCAGGAGATACCGAGCGCCATGGCGGCACCGTATCGGACGTGAGGGTTGTATGATTCGGAAAGCAGCTCGACCATGCGAGGAACACTCTGGTGCTTGCGGAACAAGATGAATCCCAAGCTGAGCACTGCAACTCGGCGAACATCGTCGTTCACATCACTGACAGCGACGTGCAGGAGCTTGCGGACTGCCTTGTTGCTGCCGGTGCCACAGTAAGCCAGGGCAATGGTCATAATACCACCGTAGCGCAGAGTTGGGTCGGGGTCACCGAGAAGACCGTTGATGAGCTCGTCGGCACCTTCCTGGCGTCCGAACATGATCAAAGCCATACCCATGGCCAGACCACGAACAATCTTTTCGTGCTGCGTGTCG